AGGCCCTGACTCAAAAGGCATAGCCTTCACCACCATTGCCGAGCTCTCCCCCTACTTGAAGGAGGGCATCACGATTGGAGATGGGCCACTCGCCGCGCTGACTACACGTCCCATCCCCCATGAACAACGTGGGATGCTTGTCATCTCCGATCTTCAAATCCCAGCCAAGCACATCGACACCCAGGAGCCAGTCCTCATACAAGGGAGCCTGGTACAGCTCAGTAGCACCCACATTCAGCGGGTTCTCCCACATGCCGACCTTGACGCTGAACCCATCAAGACGCAGACGATCAAGATCACCATCTTCCAGGATCAATGGCCAGGAGACTGGAACACCCTGAAGGAGGGGCCTGTCAAAGCCCTCCTGGCAGCACAGCCGATCCTGACCCTGTGCCGCATCCGTGCCTGTGGCAATTCATGCCCCAAGTACCACCCACCCGTTGAGGAGGACAACCTCGAGAAAGTCCTCTTGGACATCTGGGGACGACAATGGTCTGGACCTAGCAACAACAGGTCTGAACCAGGCCAGGCTGCCAGCTGGAATATCCTCGCCAGAATCCCTTGCACCGCCCTTCGCAGCATTATGCAGATCTCTGGCACTGGCGGCGTCTACATTGACCCAAAAGACTCCACAGGGAGACTCCCAGACGAGCACTACGGCATCATTTGGCTTCAAGGTGCTTCCCTCCAAGATGCCCATCACCGTCTCCGGACCACTGAGTACGCGGTCGCGATCACACGCCTCCAAGACAAGTACGGCGTCACACAGAAACATCTTGAAGCCGGCCATCAGTCCTTGAGGCCAGACGAGCCTTTCCTGAGGGTCAAGGTCGTCGACGTCTATCGCCTCTTCCCACTCCCATTTGGAACCCAGCGGTCCGGGCTCGCCAAGCTCCTCAAAACCTGGGAATGGACGGCCAAACCACTTCAACCTTCTCGAGGAGGCTCCACAGGCATTGGTTGGGAAGTCGGCACGGACGTTCCCCCGCCAGCCAGCATTCTCCCCAGTGCTCATGGGGATGTCGTCATCCTGCAAGGTCAAATCCACCAGGACCACCCAAGAGCAGGCTGCGGTCATCGTCACAGACAAGACACGCAAATTTCTTCAAGTCCGAGGCGCCGTCTCCTCTACCCAACCTCCAGACCCTTGGCTCAATGGATCTGATCCTTGGTCCTCCAGCACCTCCGGATCGCTTGCCACCTCACATAGCCACGCCAGCACATCGGTCGACAAGATCCAACAGGTTGAGGCTCGCCTCAAATCTAATATGCGCACGGCCATCCGAAAGGAGATTGCAGACTTCAAGGGCCTCGGAGCCGATGACGACTCTGACATGGGAGTCGAAGCCACTTCGGCCAACGCTCGCCTCCTCAAGCTAGAGGCTGACGTCTCTGAGCTCAGACAGCACAGTCACAAGTTCGAAGGTTGGTTCAAAGAGGCAGCCGCAGCCAACGAGCGCACCAACCACCGCTTGGCTGAGGTCTCCCAGCAAGCCGCCGCTCAGCAGACTGAGCTTCACAAAGTCCAGTCCCACATGACCCAGGACATGACCTGCGAGAAGACATGTCCAGCGGATTCCAGCGTCTAGAAGCCCTTCTTTCTAAGAAGGCCCGCTCGGATTGACTACGTCAACAGAGGCCTAGCCCTGGTGCAGGCTGGGTGCTCCCTTCTTCACACAAGCACCAACGCAGGACCCCCCTGTCCCGGATTCTCGCACTCTTTACGACTCTCCTCCTTACTGAAGCACACGGAGCAGATGCCCTTGGGACGCTCCACACCGACATCCCAGCAGGGACGCACACTGGCACTTGGGGATACGTGGATGGGAGCCACATGGCTCACACACGCGGACTCCAACTTCCATTGAGGCGTCATCACCTTGTTCGGACCTTGCCCGGCTCTTCTACCCCTGTGCGCACAGTCGCACTTTTGGGTCGGGTCTGTCAAGGTGGTTTGCCTCTGGAGGGCTCCCTGCCCCCCCTTTTTACGCCACCCGGGTCGGAGAAGCCAACCATCCCGGGCCTTCACTCACCATCGGCACGGCCAACCCAAGCGGAGTCATCGGGAAAGCTGACTACCTCATGGACCTGCCCTATGGCATCTGGAACATCGCTGAGACACATCTAGCGGCCCCTACTCTTTGGAGCACCTGTCCCCCTGCAATCGCGATCCAGCACAGCAGGAGTCTGGGCTGGAGTCATGCAGTTTTCCGACATGCCAGCAGCCCCTTACCAGCTGTCCTGGCCAGACTCCCAGTACTCACTGGGCCGAGTCCAAGTTTCCCAAGTCAGATGCGGCAAGCACACCCTCACCGGAGCCAACCTCTATGGCTGGCCATCCTCGCCTTCCTGGCCACGGGCATGCGCCCACACCAACACACTCATCGACCACTTGACCCAGGAACTCATCCTAGGCCGTCAAGGTGTGTCGCCATAGCAGCTACATGCTGGGCACTGTGTCTACCAACGACAATATGCTCCCCAAATTTGCCACCTCTCCTATGTCGACAACCTGGAACAGCTCTCCTATGACGTCTGGTCACTACTCCGGGGAATCGCAACCCAACAATGCTTCCTGGAACTTTTCCAGCTCACCACGGATGACACTAGGGCTGTACACAACCAGCACCGGCAGCAACTCCACGCCTTGGGACACCACACCCAACTCTACCACAAAGACCTTGGAGGTCTCATGCGCTACGATGCGAAGCGACGCACACAACACCTCCACCACCAGACTCAGCTTCTCCAACCCCAATGGGACCTGCTTCGACGTCTCTCTTGTCCGGCTGAGCTCAAACAACGGATCATCGTCCAGGCCTTCTGGCCAAAACTTTTCCACTCTGCCGTTATCTGCGACTTTCCTATCCACCAGCTGCGAACCACAGCCATGAAGGCGCTGGGCTGGCAACAGGCTGGGGCAAACTCCCTGCTCAGCCTTGGGGTTCTTGTCAGAAACCCCCTTCTCGACCCCGGCCTCTTCCAACTCTGGACCTCCATCCGGACCTTCAAGCGAATACTACGCAAACAGCCTGGACTCCTCGACCTTTGGCACATTCACATGCAGAACTTCCAGGGCAAACTCCGTGCTGGGCCCTTCTCCACCCTGGTGAGGCTCCTCAACCAGATTGGTTGGCGGGTAGAGCAAGTCCCCATGCTACAGGATCATGAGGGCCTCCTTCACGACCTCTGCTCTACGCCAGAAGCACTCCTCTTCAAGCGCCTCACTGCTGGTTGGCGACATTGGGTTTCTCTCCAGCTTGTACACCGGCAAGACTATGCAGGGCTCCAGGGCATCAACTGGCAGATCATGCAGACGAAAACCGGTCACCTCTCGGCACTCGAGTTAGCCCGGGCTCACTCACAACAACGAGGTGCCTTCTTCACCGGAGAGTACAAGAGGAAGTTTGACAACTTCCACGATGGAACCTGCCCGGCATGTTCTGCCCCGGATTCCATCTCGCACCGAAGCCTGCGCTGCCCCCAGACAGAGACAATTCGACACGTTGCCCTATGGGATCATGCTCTAGTATGCCTCCGGGAACGACTACTTGTACCCTGCAACCCACATGCCGCCGAAGTTCATGAATATCTTCACCAGCTCTCCTACCTGCCCCCGAAGTTCAACTTCTTCACTGACTCGAACCAGACCATCCACTTGTTCACGGACGGCTCCTGTGCCACACCAAAGAACCCGTCAACTGCCCTCTCCAGCTGGGCAGTGGTCTCAGCAACCCATGGCCAAGTTCTTGCACAAGGTCTACTGCCAGGCATTCGTCAAGGGAGCACCCGGGCGGAGCTGTACGCCATCCTGCAGGGTATCAAATGGCTCCAGGCCGGCCAACATCGTGGACATATATGGTCCGACTCGGCGACCTCAGTCCAGGGAATTTGGCGGATCCAGCAATCCCTCCACCTCGCGATCCCACACTCAGACTACACCTCTGGCACCAACATCGATCTTTGGAGTCAGATTGCGGACACGCTTCAACTTGCCACCAATGCCTCCATCCAGATCCACCACATTCCAGGACACACCGACCCCACCAGCTGCGACAACCCGGTTGATGAATGGCTTGCGCTATGGAACGGACAAGCCGACTACGCTGCAGGCCTTGCTCGAACTCAACTTCCACCTGAGTTTGAGAGAAGCTGGACGAACTTCATTAGAGAAGAAAAGCGGTCGGCTGACCAATTTGGCACCATGCTCCGGTTCCAACTTGACCTTGCAGAAGGCTTCTCGCACTTCCACAAGCATGCGCGCCACACTCACCAAGCAGAAGATGGTGACCTGGAAGAGCCCCTGGAGATCCCCAGGTTGCCCTCGCCCCTCTGCTGGACTTCTCGGCTACCTTCTGAGTGGCGCGAAACAGTTAGGAGTTCCTCTCTAATTCGTTTTGGAACCAATTTTGTTTGCGGCCTTCTCGAGTTTTTCCTGAGAGACCAACAAGATGCTGACACTAGCCATTGTGTCTCCTGGCTCGAGATTGCCGTTCTTGCACGAATCCAAGACATCCCCTTCGCAATTGCGACTGCCTCCGGCACTGGAGCAAGCTGGAGGGACCTTTGTGATGTTCCACCGGGCGCTGATGTCCACGCCTCCTTGGCTAGTGACATCCGTCTTGTTCGTGCTGTTCTTCGTGGTGTTTCCGATCTTTTTGAATTGGACATCGGCGAAACCCGGGGACTCAACCTCTCGGCACTTAGGGTAGGACCCCCCCAGGCCGGTTGCTGCATGCCTTTTTCCCAGGACTCCTTTGGGGCGATTAACGCCAGGATCCTGGACTTTACTTCGGCTAGGCCGATTAGGTCTTCGAATGACCTCTCTCGGCCACTGCGCTGAGCTGACCGGACTCGCGCACCGCTCTGCTGCCGCCGAGCGTGCGCCGCAATGAAGGGTGAATGAATGAATGAATGATTGTGACTCATTTGGGCTCTCCTGCCTTCCGTCACCGTCTGACACCAAAGCCGGCCTTCCGTGGCCGTAGCCCTGGCCGGAGGCTGTCGGAGATGTCGTGCAGCGAGCTGCTGGCCGCGAAGCGGCGGTCCTACGGCACGAAGCGCTACCGAGAAGCGAGGCGTGGGGCCCGGTCCGGAGGTTTTTCGCTCGCTTACGCCAGGCTGCGCAAATGGGGGGGGGGACGCTCAGTTGGCTGTGGGTCAAAACCATTTGGCATTTTGGGGCAGGTGCACCACCCATTTTAGTCTATTTTAGTGGGGGTTGGGATGTTCACTGGGGCTACAGGCTTTTGACCCATGGCCAGTTGAACAGCGGTCTCTTGTGTCTTGCAAGGTGTGGCTTCACAAAAGGCAGCGGAACTCGTGTGAGTTGGAGGCGCCCTTGCCTGAATGGTTTGGGTGTTGGACGTATAGGATCTCTTGAACCACTCTGGGATTTGTAATGGTTTCCGCATCGATGGAGGCAAATTGAATATGAAGGCGAACATACTGTGCCATTTGACATGTCAGCCAATTGTTGTTTTCGGTCAGCATCAGTGCATTGAGATTTTGCGAAGACTGGCAAATGGGAATCACAACACTCAGCATAGGAAGAGTGGTTGAGGGTGTAAGGTTTGAGGCTTAGGTTTAGGCGCCTCAGCGTCACCAAGTTTCAAATGTTAGGGGAATTCGAGTATTTGTGGGAATGTAACTTGGGGTTCTCACTGGCACGGCCGTAAAGGTGTATTCTATGATTGGTCATGAGAAACTGGTGCCTAAATTTACTCTCGGAGCTCACTGCAGACTTGCAGCCTTTGAATTTGGAAGCATTTCTTGTCAGCCCTGCTACTTATCATGGTTATAGTGGGGCCAGCATCACCACAGCGGCATGTTTAGACAGAAAGCTAGACAGGAGCTTTCAACAACCATGGCGTTGTTCGCCTCGGCCAAAATTTGGTTTTATTTGTTGGGTGTCCACGTTTGTGATTGAGACCTCGCGCCTGGCATGGTTCGGCAGAAGCAAGGCCGAATGCCTCAACTGCAGCAGTGGTGCTCCCAACCAGCCACACGGGGTGTGAAGGTGTTTCAGGTTCCTTCGATTTATTCAAGGACCCCAGGACCAACGACCCAAAGGACCCAAGGACACTGAACGTGCTCAGTCACCGCGAATCCTTGCAACTTGCAGACGCGTGAAAGTCTCCGGTGCAAGACGTTTGTTCCAGTATCTTTGGTACAACACCCCCCGCCCAATTGTTTTTTTTTTGCTGGGCCATGCTGCAGCCCGCCATAGCTCCCACCTCGGGTTGCGCCGCCGGGCCCGCGCGGGCGCGCGGGGCGCGCGGGGCGGACGGGGCGCGCGTGCCGAGGTGGCAGGCCTGTTGCTTCTCGGTTTGATGGCTTCTCTTTCGGGCAACATCGTGTGACAGGGAGTAGTGGTCAGTGTTTTATCACGCTTTGGGGCATTTGGAGGTTGTTTTTGCTTTCTCCAACCCACACTCACCTTTCTTTCTTGCAAGCTTCCAGCTGCACTGTCGTTTCTTTCTCCATCGCGCAGGCACCGCGATGGGCGCCTTTGTCGCTGGCCATCCTGGCGAGGCGACTGCGAGAAACTCGTTTGGTCTGAGACTTGACGGATTTCTGGCGAACGCCAAAGGGGTGTTCTACCCGTCCCATTGGGTCGCTGTTTAGGTCTCTAACCTTTCGAAGCCCGACTGTGTGGCCGGTGGCCAAAAACATCTGTGTTTGGTGAGCGCAAGACACCAGGCCAACCAAAGCCAAAGAAAACGAGGTCACTTTTTAGCCCAACACGGTTCACCAGTTCCCAAGGAGCCATATTCTCTCAGCTTTCAGAGATTGCGACCAAGATGGTTTCCCAACAGGATTCCCAACCGGTTTTGCTGTGGTTGTCAAGGTTTCCTTTGAATCCAAGACGCCAAGTGCCAGCTTTGGCCCAGCCCACGACGGCTGTGGCCAGGGGCCGCGCCGTTGGCTCCCGGCGCGGCTGCCGCTGCCGGCGCTTCTGGCGGAGCTGGGCGGAGCGTTTGGGCGTCGAGGCGCCCAAGGCCGGGCACTCGTGTCGTCACCTGGGGGCCGCCGGGCGGGTACCAGGGTGTGTGTGTGTGTGTGTGCTCAGGGCGATTTTTTTGGAATTGTTCGATCTGATTGTAGAACTCTGCAACAGCTGGAACCCTCTCAAAGAAAATGTTGTACGTAGCTGCAACATGGGTTTCTCAAACATGGTTGGAGGTAAATTCCAAATGTCGACCAAAGGATGCCCAATTTAAAATGAAAATTTACACCCAATTTGCTTGTCGTTCTTGGGTTGTCACGCCACGGTCGCTTCAAAGAACGCAAGCGAGCAGAGCGACCCTGGAAACAGACTGTCAACAAATGCTTGACCCGGAACTAGCTGGGAAGTTCATTTCGGTACTGCGACAGATTCCAGCTGAGTCCTCTTTGCGCGGAGGCAAAGGGAACTACCGCCTTGGAACCCTCTCTTTGATCGATTTGCGCTGATTATTAGCTTCTTTTCAATCACATTTGCGATATTGTATCATTGTTTGAAGAGCTCCTCTCAAGTGATTCTGCGGCGCTGCACAGAGTCTCAACCGGCCCCGCTTAGTCCGCCAAATGCAAAGCCCAGCTGGCAATAGATGGCTAGCCGGTGCCGAAGTTGCGACATCCCAAATACCTTTCCTGCTCAGGACCTTTGGAAGGGCTTTGCTGTTTGGTGCCCTTCTGATGAGTTGAGAAAATCCATTTTGCACCCTGCTTTTTGAAGAAAAACACAAGCAAACCAAAAAAGCAACACAAACAAACACAGCAGCACTTGAAGCGCCCCTTCACTTCGCCGGGTGCCCAGTTGCTTCCTTTGGGAGGCTTTTTTTTTTTGCCAGGTGGAGCTGGCCACGCTGCAGGATGCCTTCGGCAACGAGCTGCGCGGGTGGGGGGCTGAGGGCTGGGCCGGGGGGGGGGGAGGTTTGGGGTGGGTCGAAGGTGACACACGAGGCGTCCAGGCAGAGAGAAGTGTCTGGAAGTTCGGGGGTTTGCCTTCTTCCACTGAACTTGTGAATGGTGAAGATGCCTCTGGGTGCAGCCATGAACCATCACCATGATCAGCTTGGGGGCTTGGCCTGCGAAAATGAGGCCACCGGCCCATGGGTGAATTCTTTGATGCCAAAGGCCACAAGCCGCACAGGTGACTTTGCTTACTCCGGTGTTACATCCGGAAAAGAGCTGCCTGGCTCATGTTGCAAGCATAATTTGGGCATGCATGTGTGTTCAACTCCCCTTAGCCCAAAGATGCATGCCAAACTCATAGGCAAGTTGATGCGTGGGAAGATTTTCTTGACCTTCCAATCCCTTGGCATACCATGCAATGGAGGCCCAAGTCCAGGATATTATAGCAGTTACAGACATAATTGAGCCCTGCATCCCTCTTCATTTTGAGGTTGTCCATCTTGAGGTGTCAACTCGTCATCTAGCTACTCCTGGGTGCTTGGGGGCGCAAAGGCGCCTAGAATTGATGGCTTGAGCCGATTACAGTTGAGCGCGCAAGGATGCGCGCGACTGACGACATCCCCAGCGAGGAGCCCATCATTACAGTGCCAGCGAACTGTGCGCTACAGGCGGCATGGTGGCAAGGAGGTTTGTTCGACTCGGGCCCTGCCGAGGTTGCGCGAGTCCAATGTAGTAGCATCTCTGCACCAATTCTGTACGCAAGCGGTGAGAGGCCTGTCGATGCCGGCTTTGCTTCGCCGGACTAATCCGGAGACCGTATGACCTTGTTTGGTGGAAACTTGACAGCCACAACACGTGGTGTAGCATTCTTGGAGGCGCTGGATTTCATGGATTTGCATGCTCAAAACACGCTCTGGGGGCTTGTCTGGCCGTAACTGTTGCACGCACGGGCGCAGTGAACTGTAGGAAAAGGTGAACGCCCACTTGCTTTGGACTCGGCTTTGCACGCCTTCATCCCAAGAGTAGACTTACCTTCGTTCATCATGCCTGCTTTTGTTAATGTTACACTAGGGCCTCGTGATTGAGTGTGTGCAGCCGTAGTGCCTCCTTGCTGCTGTCAGGTCACCACTGCAGGGCCGTGCCCCGGCGACTTTGTGGCGGAGGAGGTTTGGCAGAAGCTTCCCTGGTGGGCGCAGCTGGCTGTGCTGGTGCTACGAGAGGCCGGTGATTTAGGTGGACCAAGTTGCGGAAGTCAAGGGTCAAATGAGGGTCAGGTGACGACTCTTCAGAGGGGTACATGCCAATAACACCACGGGAACGCGTTACCTCTTACCCACTGAAACTCTTTGGAAGGGACAGAGGGTGCACACTGGACACAATTCGAAAGAGCGTCAAATTCCCTCAATCCCCCCAGCCACCCCCCGGCGCCCCGGAATCGGGAAGGTGAAGCAGCCGCGGCTCGCGGAGTGGGCGGCCACTCTCCCACAGAGCTTCGAGGCAGGACTCATTTTCAGCCTGTTTGGTGAAAGGGAAGCTCCCGTTTTGGGAGGAGGGAGGAGACAGGGTGGGCAACCCCTCCATCTTTCAACCTTTCAACCCTTCATTGCCACAATGGACGCACATCTCCTCATCCATATCATTTTTCAACACCTTTCTGGAGGGTGGGAATGGGAATTCCGCTGCCCGGAGCTACGTGTTCGGAGTTTCCGTGGCTACTCCGTTAGGAGATCCCGTTGAACTGGACCAACGAAGAGCTCGCATGGCTGGAGTACCCGGCGCTGCTCCAGCAGATGCTCGGATCGGGTCCTTTGGGTTTCGCTGGGCGTAAACCTGTCGGCCGTCTGAGCCAAAAGACCATTGAGACCAAACTGGCTAAAGGTGTTTTTGTTTGGCCTCGCCGAACCAAATAGACGGTTTCCCAGTTGTTTGTTTGTTTCCGAGTATGGGTCGCCTTCCTGTCTTTCTTTTCAGTTTTGATTGAATATACCTCTGCTTCGGAACACCTGGTGCCCCATTGGTTGCCAGTTTTGTGTGTCATTGGGACCTAGGTATTTGCAAGTCAAGGATCCCCAATCCAAGTCGCGTGTTGAGAGTTGGCGCAGGTTAGCAGATGTTTAAGGTCGTGTGTCTTTTTTAGGGTACCCATTTGCTTGGTTTTAAAGGAAAGCCAAAAGGATAGTTTCCATTTTGGGGGTTCCCCCGAAAAGCAGTCACACCCATTGGCATAAGTGTGCCCTGTCGGTGAGGTTTAATCTGTTAGGGGTTCCGACCCAAAGGTCTGAAGCGTAGAGACATCGCTGAGCCCAATGAACATTTGGTTCATGTTCCTAGCGGTAGATTGGCGGTTCTTGGCGGTTGAGTGCTGCAACCGCTCACCCTGCCTCACCCTGCGGGTTGAGCGCTCCAACCGCGTCCCTGCGCGACCCAGGATCGAGAAGCAGCGGCAGGAGATTGAAGCCGCCTTTCGAGATGCCAGCGCCAGTTCCCTATCCTTCACAGAGGCTCGCACTTGGAGAACATGATGACGTGTATCTCTGGCCCACTTGGCGCATGTGTCCAACCAGGGGATTTCACAACATGGTTCCCGGCGTACCCTCAAAAGAACACACCCAGGGGTCGGCCGAATTCGACGTCTCGTCCTCCGTGGGGGTCGGAAGTCCAGGCGGAGTTCCTTTGGGCGGTGCAGCTGGTGAGGAGCCGCGCCTTCAGCGGGCCCTACGAAGGGCGACAGGCGCAGGCCAGGGGACGTCGCTCGCCGGTCGCGGCGGTGTTTTTTCTTCTTCATCTCGGAGGTGCTCCAAATCACCTCCCACTCCCCCGCTTGTGAGGAGCAGTGTTACAACTTAACTTGATGCCTCCCAGCCATCCCCTTAGCTTTTTAGCTATTTAGCGTTTAGTGAGGATTTCCATTTAACCCACCAAAAGTTAAACTTTTAGCGGGGGATCTGAGGACAGCCCAGTTAAGAAGAAGAATTGAACCCCTCGGACAGAAGCCGTGGTTTGAGCGCCCTGCCACCTTGGGGTTTAGAAGGCACAAGTCACAAAGGACTGGACGCAATGTTCATCTTGGGACACGTGGCCAGCTTGATTTTTCATGCGAGTAAGATGCTACCTGCCGCTTTCAAAACTATTGCATGTAGGGAACAAGGACACCTGCCAGGACGTAAACCAAGCAAGACAAGGACAACCACAACTCATTTAAAGAGTCAACACATCTAAAGATAACAGTTTGTATTATCTAAGTGCCCACAACCACATCTAAAGAGTCTTGCAAATCGATAACTTAGATAGCGCTCAATGCTTGCCGCATCTGCATCCGCCGCATGCTTCCGTGCGAAGGACCGGGCTGTGCAGCTGGCCTTCATCGGGGTTCTGCTGCTTGGGTCACGCCGTGGGTTTGGACGTGGGAATTGGAGCCCAGACAATGGGGGGGGGGCGGGGGCATGGGGGGTGGGGGGTGGGGGGGGTGAGGGTGCCATTTTTTCCATGTCAGTTTAAATGGGAAACAAAAGGACCGCCAGCGTTTTTGGCGGTCCCCTAGAAATGAAGACACCTATGTGGCTAGCCCTTACAGGTTTTTCCCTTTTCACCAATCTGAAAAGGGCAGGCCTCGAAGAACGCAAGTCCTGGTCCATGTCGCTGAAGTTTTTTGTGGAGAACAGCCAGCGATCAAAGCTTTGGACAGCCCAGCACGACCATGGTTGGGATAGATAGTCCAAAGAAAGATCCTTGCCGCTGCCCTCATTCTATACAGATGCTTGAACCGCCTTGCGCCTTTGCGTTTTGCAAGCTGGGCTATGCATCTCTTCTCGAAGAAAGTCGAGTAATGTAGCAATTTAAATGGCATTGGGGCACTTTTTCTGCTACTCTCGAGGTTGTGCTTTTGAGTACATTCTTCTATCTCTGGCTTCTTGATTTGGCCAGTTCATGCCGGTTGCCATCCGACACTATTTGCTGGCTTGTTGTCGAAAAAGCAGGAAGTATGCACTCTTCTTGCGCAAGGCCATCCGCGTTGACAACCATCTTGGATGCGAGATAGCTCCTCCTGTCAGCAAACACTTCTTGGTTTGTTACTGGACTTAATTCTCTTGGAGGGGGTGATGTTTGGGTGGGAAAAACTCTGGGGTCATCATTTTGAACGTTTCTAGGGGTTATCAAAGTCGGAAAATGGGGTTGTTTCCCTTTAACCCATCACTTAGGGGATGACTTTGATCATGGTAAGATAATGAGGCCAGAAAATAGAGAGTTTGAAACCAGCTGGAAGGCTTGTGTTGAGCATCGGCACCGGCTTCGTGACCCCGGAGAACGGCGTGAACGGGGCGCTGGCCGCCGCCATCGCCATTCCGCTCACAGACGCCCAGCGGGAAATGGAAGAGAGGGGGGTTCTAGAAAAAAAACAATCAAACTAACAGAAACAAGAGCAGGCCTTTTCTCCAAGCATTGTTCTGCCTTACCAACAAGATTAGAGTTTGTTATACGTTGCAGCGGTACTTGGTGCCTCCGCCCGTTGCCCCCTTCACCGAGAATCAATTTGTTGTGGGAGAAGGCCGTGCCAGCCGTGCCATTTGCGTCTGGGCTGATTCTGGCCGTGTGTGTGTGTGCGTGTAAACTATTCTGTTTGTGTGTGCACGTGTATGTGCACAGGCAGTCGTGTAGGGCGGGTCCAGGTGAAGTGATGATTCCTGCAGTGATCAGCAAACTGGGCCCAAATCCATAGGCGCAGTGTGCTTGCCTTGTCGTGTGGCGGCCGCGGTTTTGGCCAACTGTTTGGCAGCCTGTATCTCTTCCAGGCATGATTCCAGCAGGCAGCAGTGACCCGAGCGTGTGCCGGCGCAGGTTGACCAGTAATCTATCACATGTCCGCACTGAGGACTTTCTGGTTGGGCAGCCTCCTGGACGCAATTCGGGATTGGGTGTTTCTGAAATAAGAAGCAGTCCCCTAAAGTACCAACCCAAATGGGGCTTTTCCTTCAAATACCACCAGGCCAAATTCCATTTTGAGAAACTCCCAAGTGTATCGCGCTGGTTTAGCATGCCTCACACCTGCCTGGGTCGCGAACGGACTGCACCCTGTGAGCGCCGACAAGTAGTGGTATGGCATGGTCCTTTGCAAAAAAAAGAAATCGTGGCACGAAGTCTATTCCAAATAAGACATGCGAGCCGCTTCTTTAGCTGACAGAAGCGCCAGTTATTTAAGCCGCCGGAAGCTAAGGCCAGTAAGAAGTGGTGGGATGCAAGTGTCGAATGGCTGCTCATGTCTCTGGAGGCTTGACTGATTCCTCCCAGGAAGGTCATGGATGTTGGAACTCACAATACGAAAGCTCCGAAGCGCGGCTTGGGCTCCCAACAGGAAAACGCACTCAGGACCTCCAGCCTGAAGCGGCACGTCGTTTGCCCAGTGGTGGACTATCTGAACCATGTGCCTAGCAGAAGTTACCTGCTCGGCTTGCTTGTGGTTTCATGAGCAGCCAGTTTGTGACGGGGGGCACATGCTACATTGGTTTGCGAGGCATGTTAGCTTCTCTTGTTCAAAATGGGTCGGCCTGGCTTTGGTTTGAGGGTACCCCCCCGCTTTGTGGGTTTCAAGAGCAACCAAACGGAAAACCGTCATTTTGGGGTCTCGCGGGCACAGCTGTGGTAATTACCCGCTTTGTGTGCAATTGCAGGTGTGGTTGAAGATGTCTTGTGTGAAGGCCTGGGCCTTGTCCAGAGGCATACTGCAAAGGATTGGACATGGATGAAGATCAGGGCGTATGGATCAAGTGAGGCAATAGATGGGGTATAGATGGGGATGTGCCAAAATGGCACCCTGAGGAAAAAAGACACATACCCGGCTTACAGATGCTTACAGGGGTGAGGATCAAGTGATAGAGGGGCAGGCTCGGCCCAAGGAGGCAAAACTGCGAGCTCATGAATCCAATGGAACTATGCCCATGGAGCGCCAGGCGTAATCTATGGGCAGCCAAAGTGACGCATCAAAAGAATTTGTGCATGTGTGCGCGTGTTTTCTTTCATCAGTTTGGTCTGGATGTTCTTCTAGCTTCTGGCTTACATGAAGAAACTTCAAGGCTCCAAGAGCCATGTTTGAGCCAATAGTCTTTGTCAGTGTTTTGCCCAAGGATGGGGCGACCATTTCTGACATCGCTTACGAGTACTTCGGCGATGCCTTTGTGGTTCGCATCAACGGTGGCTTCAAGGACCGCCCTCACAGCCGGAGACAGCGAATCTGAGCCGCTGAGGAACTTTCGATCAATTTGTTAGGTTCCATGTTGGTAGACAGGTATGGCCCAGGAAGCAGTTTTGCTTGGCCTCATTTACCAGGTTGCATCCAAAGGTTTGTGTTCGAGATAGGGTTGATCTTCCTCACCTCTAGGCTCCTTCGGCACTATGCCCCGTGAGACGTAGCCGGAGTGGCGCTTGAAACAGGTGCCCAGCGTGCCTTGATTGCAGGAGGGCGAGGAAGTCTGCATAAACTACGGAGAGCAGCGAAGCAATGACACGCTGCTGCAATTTTACGGCTTTGTTGAGAGGCGGGGCCATTGCACTCGTTGGCACAGCCTGCACCATATCTGCTGGGAGTGCGGAATATGGCCGTGTACTTCCGGATTGTACAGTTTTGCAGATGTTTGTCAGACATGCTTCACATCTCAGTGCCGGTACGTTTTGCACATCTCGAACCAATGGTGCACATTGAGAGTGCAGGGACAATGCCAACGACACCTACACCATGGACATCCTGAGACATCTGGATGAAGAGGCTGCCAAAGAGCGGTCGCTGGAAGTGCCTTTGCCTGCTGAGGGCTGAGGGAGCGTGTCTTAGGACTGGACGGCTCGTTTGCCTTGGATGGCCGACCCTTTGAATCCCCATGAGCCGTGAGGCAAACATTCTTTGCAGGTTTCATGAGGAACTTGAGCAACTCTTTGGAGGATTGACTGAACCAAAAACAGGTCCAGTGGTTCCAGCAGTGGTTTCATGGCCTGACTTGCCGGGGCCGAGCAGCCCGCGGGCGCTGAGGTGACGGTGACGCGGACGGGGCCAGACGAGGCCTCCATGGCCAGGCACGATGGGGAGGTGGTGCAACTGGGATGCCGATTTTTCCGGAACGCGACCAGTCGGAAGCCAGGGTCACAACAAGAAGCCCCCCGATTTGCTCGGACAATTGCCCCAAATGTTCAGGCGGTTTTGGAGCCCGCTGAGTGGCATGACGTTTTGCCGTGTTTGTATTGAGCTGGCCGCACTTGTTGTGCCTTTGAAGTGTCGACCATTGCCAGCGGCACGCCCAAGCCTTCCCATGCGAGCGGCAAGCCCTGCTCCAGTCGGCCAGGATCTTGGCCATCCTGGGTGCGCAAAACCCGCCAAGTGAGGAGGAGGAGGCCATGACTTGGAAGGCGCGGGTGCCCGGCGAATCCAAAGTTGACAAGGAATTTGAGCCTTTGTCCGCCTTCAAGAGTGCCCCCCCCCCCCCCCTCCGACCCCGCAAAACGCTACTGTCAGTGCTACACGATTTCTCAGGCTACTGCAAGCCTCGGCCTCCCTGAAGAAACCGAGTTGCGCGCATTGTTTGATTGTTTTTGATCATTGGTACTACACATTTTGCACGCTGGCTTGTAATGTAGTACCAACACTGTGTCCTTTTCTGAGTATTCGTACTGTTGCGACAGAACTAGTAGTGTCAGACATTGTCTGGCGGCAGCATTCCGCATGCTGTGCTGGAGCAAGCATGCTTTTTTTGCCTGCTCGTTTCGCACAATGAACAGTCAGACTGTTCGAAAAGGCCGTAACACAGCCCCACGTTCTTGAGATTTGCAGGGAATTGCTCCATTTGGCTGCGAAGGAAGGCAGCCCTTGCCATTCCACTCCTTGCCGAATCTGATTTTTGCTTGGCACCCGCAGACCACAGGTGGATGTCGCCAGCTCCCTCTTGGCTCGAGTCTGGCCGCTGGCGTAGCCATGTCTTTCGTGCAACAGCTGGCCAGCCAGACTCGGCTGACGCAAGAAGCATGGGTCCAGGAACAGGTGAACCTGTTCAAGGAGAAGCTCAGTGAAGTCTAGCTGGCTCACTTTTTGTTTTGAAGTTTCAGGGGATGAGGTGTTAATTTTTGCCTAGGGTTGGGTTTTTCTTACAGAAAGGGACCCTGTGAGCGTTGGGTTTTTGCACACACCTAATTTTGCTGCATTCTGGCCAAAACCGAGGAAAAAAAAGGATTCTGGGACAATGTGCTGGTATCATGCAAACAGTTCTCCACCTTACCCCCCCCTTGCAGATGTCAGGCTCCTGTCCAAAACCGAAAAAAACATCGAGAAATCGAAAGATTCTGGGACAATGTGCTGGTATCATGCAAACAGTTCTCCACCTTACCCCCCTTGCAGATGTCAGGCTCCTGTCCCAAAACCGAAAAAACATCGAGAAATCGAAAGATTTTGTCCAAAACCAAAAAAAACCTCGAGAAATCGAAAAAAACCAAAAAAACCAAAGATTCTGGGACAATGTGCTGGTATCATGTAAACATTCTGTTGGCCAGATTGGTTTTTTTGGTTTTTTTTCGATTTCTCGAGGTTTCTTTCGGTTTTCGGGATCTTTCGAATTCTCAATGTCAATTTCTCGATGTTTCTAAATTCTTTTTCTGTTTCAGGTGACAGCAAGCCCGACAGAGTCGCTTCCAGCCAGCTTGCACCCATTGCCCATTTTAGAGAAGTTCAGCGTAAAGAAGTTTTTTGGAACACCAGAGCAGCAAGCCAAGCTTTTTGCAAGAAAGAGCTTAGAAGGTTTTCAAACACCAAGCAACAAGAAAACCAAAGGTGTGGCCAGCCCGACAACACAGCTTCAGGTGACAGCAAGCCCGACAGAGTCCTTAGCTTCCAGCCAGCTTGCACCCAGCCCCAGCCCAGCTAGCTTAGAGAAGAAACAGTTCAGCGTAAAGAAGTTTTTTGGAACACCAGAGCAGCAAGCCAAGGAGATAGAGCCTGTGCTATCTAACAGGGTAGTTCCATACCAGAGGCAGCAGCAGAGCAAGCTGCAGAAAGAAGCTGCACTAGTGATGTCAGCTTACCTCCAGAAGCTAGCAGAGCTGGAGAAAGAAGACCCAGAAGAAGCTGTAACAGGCAGACAAGGTGGCAGGCCTCCAGTTCTGGAAGAGCGTAGAGGAACTGCAGGTGGGCAGTTAAGCAACAGGAAGAAGGAGACAGATCCTTCCAGGAAGCAAGAGCTTTTTGCCTTTCAGAAGATGAAGCTTAGTGAAGAGATTCAAATGATTCTGGAAGAGTCTCAGCCTCAGAAGCAGAAGCTTGGGCAGTTGCAAGGAGAAAGTTCAAGATGAGCACACAGAGGCTGGAAGATTGCAGAAGAGGTTTGCCAGAGCAGCTAGTGGAGGGAGAAAGAGAGAGTTTAGCAGAGAGATCTCTCAACTTGGCAAGTGGTTGCAGAAAGAAAGGAGTTATAGCCACAACGTTTCAAAGAATGAGCTGCTGAAAGAGTTCTTTGCCCTTCTGGTTGCAAGGGCAGAGAGATGCATGGTCAGGGCAGAGCTTTGCAGAAATGAGATGCAAAGGAAAGCTTGGCTGAAAGAAGCTGACTGTGCCCTACAGAGAAAGACCAAGCTCCAGCAGAGCTCAAAGTATGCAGCTTCTTATGTAGAGAAGCTGATCCAATGGCTAGGTGCAGCTTACTTGAGCAAAGATCAGACTACTCGCCTGGCACCAGTTGAAGAACAGGCGCGGGCCCAGCCTTCCAGGATATTGACAGAAAGCTCTGGCATCTAGGTGCTTGCTCCAGTTGCTGAGATTGAAGATGCACATTTGGTTGCAGATGCAGAGATGATAGTTAAGAAACGATCCTCACTGGTAATCGGCACGAGTGATCAAGTCCCACTTTGGGCCAAAGATCCAAGCAAGAAGTTGGTCTTCTCTGCAGATGAGCTCAAAGGTGCCAGTTGGGACGACAGAAAGAGGTGGACTGAGATCAGGTAGGAGCTGAAAGCTGCTTAAGTTCAGGCAGCTGAAGAAGGTTACCAGCTTGTCAGTTGGGCAGATGTAGGAGCAGGGCCTCTCAAAGTTGCAGGTAATAAGGTGATGACAGGACAAAGTTCAGATGAAAAGTTTCGTTTAACATACGAAGCTTGCCAGAAGATTTACATCCACGATCTCCTTGAGATCCTCGTAGGTCATGTCTTCTGCTGCAAGTGCCATCTTAGCCCAGAGTGGAGGGTGGGACGACTCAGTGCAGGATGCAGATGGATGAGATGCTTTCTAGCTGGCCAAAGTTGCAGCGCAGATCGCGGTCAGAGGATATATACACACATAACTGCACACAACTCCCCAATTCGGAAAAACACTTGTTTCACATGGAAAATACCCACGCTGAGGGGGTCCCCCTCTCTTTTCTTAAGTCTGGCTCCTCGCACTGGTTGGTTGGTTGGTTGGCTGGCTGGCTGGCTGGTTGGCTGGCTGGCTGGCTGGCTGGCTGGCTGGCTGGCTGGCTGGTTGGTTGGTTGGCCGCATCCCTGGCATCACCAGCCTCATTTGACCCTAGAGTTACCTGTTGGCTGTGATTGGGCGGCATAGGCAACTGGAGGCCAGTTTGCCCCCAGCAGAAGTTGAGGATGCCGCCTTTTGCCCCCAACCCAGAACGCCCTAGTCTGGATGATGCTGGAGATGTTGCCAGCCGTAAGAAACACCAGCGCTCGGAAAACATCGGCCTAAGGAACACAACAAACTCCTCTACCAGTTTCAGGTAGGGTTTCTGTAGCTCTCACTGGACCACTCCCAAAGCCTCCAAAGGTAAACAGTTAAGGCATAGGCGTTCCTTCTTAGGTCTGGTTGAAAATAAATGGCTTGGTACTCATTTTCCAGTGCCGCACCCAGGCCGCTTACTTGGGATTGATACGTATTGGTTTTTCCAAAAGGACACCCCTGGCCCCTTGCTTGGGGGGCGGGATGGTAGTGAACCACTCTTTAAGGGTGTCCGAATTGTTGATTACGTTACTCATGTCGAACCTTTTTGCTGCTGATTATGTTGTACTGCTGGAGGTTTCCCTCAACCCCTGCCCGGTCCCAGTTTTTCCCGATCCGTCGCCATTTGTTTGTTCTAGGTTGATGGTATTGGTTTGGTGTGTTTTTGTGGTCGGTGGTCTGAGGAAGTGCTGGGAGACGAGCTGGCGCTCTAGGGCGAGTTGCGAAATGGACTGCCGTGCGATCCAGCCTCGGTGCCGAAAGTTGTTGGCGCAGGCAGGGTTTTCCAAGGGCTTTTCCAGCCTGATGAACCAATCTTTGATCTTCAACCACGGACAAAGGCTTCTACCGCTTGAAATCACTTTTGCTCAGTTGTCCGACCTTTTGACCTTTTGGTTTCCCATTTTGGTCAGTTTTTAGTGGCCCCAAAGATTAAGTTTGGCTCATCCCAACCTGGCAGGAGCTGCGGGCGCAGCTGGTACCGCTCGGCTTCAGCTCCCTGCAGGCGCACGCGGTGGCTTCCCGGTGGTTTCCGAATAAAGCAGCATGGGGTTGCGTGTGGATTCGGAACTCCAAAATGTTTTTTGTTTTGTTTGGTTGCCCCTTTTAACCACTCCCAAAAAGAGAAGCCCCAAAAGATGGACGCAACAATTGATCAAACAAACAACCTCTGGGCCCATTGTGTGGACGTAACAAAGAGGACATGGCTGGCACAGTTTACACGGTCCAAGCGTAGCCTCGATCTGTGTGACAACCCCCCAAAAAACAAACGGGGCCATCACCCCAAATTGCCGGGCCTAGAAGAGGGTAATGCACGTCATGGCCCCGTTTTTAAGGAGCAGCGGAACATTTGCTTGGAGTCTCCTTCTGACCCGCAACCTGGCGGTTTGAAACCAACCGTCTGCAGTCGACCCCTGAAGGAAGTTCTCTCGAAAAGAGAAACTCTCGTGCTTGGGTGTATGGGATGTCATGAAGACAACCACTGGACTGGAGTGTCCATGACATGGCCATTTTGCAAGTAAGGAGTGATGGAATGTGATATTTGCTTTCCCCGAAAGTGAGTTAAACCATTGGACGGACTGTTGAGGAGGGGTTGAAGGGAGGCAGGCCGTGACAACTTGATCACACTAGAGCAGCGCCAAAAACCCTGACAATACAAAGTAGTAAAGGGGGGTGTCCTATAGAATCCCCGCGAAAGCCAAAACGCAGGCCGCGAAAGCTTGCAAAAGCTTATCGCAAAAGTAACCAAAGAAGATCCCGCCGCGAAAGACCCGCGAAAGCCTGCATGCTGTTTGACGGTCCGCCGCGGAAGCGTCGCGAAAGCAATTCTAAAGAAACCAAAGCCCGCGAAAGCAAAACATGGGGTCGCGAAAGCATCGCGAAAGGGTCCGCGAAAGCAAGTTTATAGGACCGCTTTTTACACAAGAGTATTTGGCACGGCTCACTAAGTTTGAGGATCCTCGAGGATTCTATGATCAGTTGACAGGATTCCACCATGTCAAAACAGACCTGGATATGTTTACCTTCAGGCATGTCCGAAACATTCCATCTTTGTCTGGTGCATCCAGTCGAAATTTATGTGCCGCATCTTTTCGCGGAAGGTTTTCCCGACCTTCAACTGCATCAAGATCAAGGCCTCCTGGGACGAAGTTGAGGAGGCTGAAGCGGCAGAAGCACCGAAAGTGCCAAAAGGCGGGTTGGGTGTTTCTTCCAAAAAGCTTGCAACCCGAAACCAAACTCCTTTTTCAGAGCCCTGAAAGAGGGTGCCCTCGGACTCTCTGGGCTTGCAAAACGCCTTCTGCCCCGACAGACAGCGCGCGGGGCTGTTGCGGCATCTGCCTGGAGCAAGCTGCGCTCTCTGCGCTGGCGCCCTGTGGGCATACTATTTGCCAAGGCTGTCTCAAGAACGAGCTGCGCAAGTGCCCGTTTTGTCGGCAGCCCGTGGAGGCAGCGACCAATGGCCTTTTTATCGGTTGAGATAAGAATTCAAAGCGATGGCCCATCGAATGGGCGCTCTTTGTGAAACACACGACCACAGCTGGAAGTGCGGACACATATTGTTTCACTATGTGACCATTGAAATTCCTCACTTGTACTTGTTGTATGTATGACAGCCACTGGGCTTGATTCAGGTGGCACTTCCCGGCTGTGGACTCTTCCACCAGCTGTTTTGAGCGGAACCTCGATTGGATTCCGCATCTTTCAGCACCCACAACCACTAGGCGGCAGAGCGGCTGGACCGCACGGGTTTAGCTGGGGAGGTTGCTAGACCGTGTGATCCTGGGCCTGCCGAGTGAGGAGCGGCCGAGCTAGCAAGAGTGCGACTGGATCTTTGAGTGTTTGGCCAGTTGAATGCAACGCTGCCATGTCAAAACTGGGAATTCCAAATTGTACGTTATCAGACGTGCCCATAGGAGGGGTCCAACCTCCTTGACGCATGGCCACTTGGATGAGAGGCACTCCTAGAAATGCGGCGCTCTTTGCTCCCTGTAAAACAATCTTGATTTCGCAGGCGCTGAAGGCATATCTGAATCAGACGCCTTGTATTTCAAGCCGCATCAGCATGGCATTAGGCGAAAAAATGAGAGGAGTGCGATGGCCAAAGGGGCTCTGGTTTTCTGTTCGCTTCAGACGGTCTGTTTGGAGACTTCGCGCTCCCATTGATCTGTCCATAACCTTTGTGGACAGCAGCGCTTGAGAGTGAAGACGCATCAAGCACCATGCTTCCACGAACACGCGCCGTTCTGCAAGCCTTGCTTGGGAGTGAGCCTTGTGCAATGCAAGGTTGCAGTCCTGATTACTCCTTTCCAGGATACTCTCCGACCGGGGGTGGTCTGTTGGCAGTGTTAAATGTATGATTCGGCTGTTGAAACCGTAAAGCTGTATGACGTCATATGCTTCGAGAATTCAAGCCTGGTCCAGCAATCTGGTTTGCCATTCTTTTTCTTCGCTGGGGCCAATGAGCAAATCCTCCGAACACCTGCTGTCAGACATCCAACTCCTACATCCGGATCTCCAAATCAACTTTCCAAAAAATCAGGCATTTGTGCGGTTTTTGGAATCTTCACTCGAACCAAAATCCCGCCGAACCTTCCCGCCACCCCCAACCCACCCGAAAACCCCGACGAACCGAAGCCGCGAAGCCGCAGGCTGTGGCCTTGGCCTGCGAGAAGGAGCTGCAGCAGCGCAGCGCCGGGGAGGCCCGGCAGCTGGCTGAAGGCGCCGCTGGCGGGTCGTTTGGGCGGTTCTCGGTTCTGCGTAGGGGTGCGTCTTGTTTTGAGGGGGACCAGAAAAAAGGAGAGGTTCCTTTTGGTTTCCCTGTCTTTTTTTTGGGGGGAGGGGGAAGAGGTTTCTTTTGGTTTCCCTTTAAAGCCACCAATCAAACACAGACACGCCAGTAGGATCGATTTTTTGGTTGGTCTGGGGGAGGCGGGGTGGGGAGGGGGGGTTTGGTTTGGGGACCGCGGCACATGGCTGCGTGTTGGGGTTGGTTGAGAGATGGATTTTGCGGGCTTCAGGTTGGAGTCCCCGGCGCACCTTGCTGGGCAGATCGGGACTTGGGCCGAATGTGCTCAGTACGGCAGGAACATACTCATGGCTTGTCGGGATGGCTTCCCTGGAAGATAAGCCTTTGGCTTTGCCCTGGTTACTCAAGAGTTCGCGCTAGCCACCGCTTGCGGCAATCGGGCCCGGACTGGGCTGGCGCGGCGTCCAACAAAGAGGACCCCCGATCGCATGTTTGCCTGCCTCGTTGGGAAGCATGCATAGACTTTTCTACAAGGTCACGCCATGCTGCACCTTTTGATGGCTTCTTTTCGGGTTTTGTAGCATTTCAGGCCAGTGAATGATCATCATACACCCAGATGATGTGAGCTTGTGGGGGTCATGGGCATTGATTGTCATCTGCAACTCACAGCTCAGACGCATTGCCTTCACCCTACCAGGCGCCGGACGGGCAGCGCTGGCAGCGCGCTTTGCTGCGGAGAAGGCGTGGGCGCATGGGATCACTTCGACTTGAAGCGGGAAGAATTTGCATTGCCTCGAAGTTGGGTACCTTCTTGCCTCAACCCGCGTCAGGTTGGCTTTTTCACCCACCAATTGCTAGGTTTAGAAGGCAAGCTTTCAAAGGGAAGCCGACACTCCGGCAGAAAGCACATCAACATGCCATACCGGTAAGTGGATGAGGGCAACGCTTCACCTGGGTCGAAGGCGCAGACAAGGGGTGTGCATTTCAGACAAAGCCATAGTTCAAGGTCTGCAACTTGCAACTTGGCCAAAAGACCCTCAGAGACTTGTTGACGACTTGGTACGGTTTTCTGGCTGTTTCATTTCGCGTGTCACATGACCAGTGCGTGCAGGAGAAGGTCCTGGTGGGATGCCGCGCGCATGCTCAGTCGAGGTGCATTTGCCGGCAGGGGACTGTCGGAGTTGCAGGTGCGTAGCTCTGGTCTTGACACTGATCCCTCCCAAAGCCCAGTTGAGTCGCAATCAAAACCCTTGGGCAACTGGAGGGGAGCAAGGGACAATCCGCCATTTCAATTCTGTACAGACCATTTTGATTGTGACTCAGTTGCCCTCATTGCCACGTCCGGATGACACCTCTGCAAGGCACAGGCTCGGTCCGACCGCAGCCATGTTGCTCTGAGGGGGCGCGACCGGCATCGGCCGATCTGCGCTGCCCTAGCGGCATGCACCGCCGCGGGCCCTTGCAAAACCGAAGGGCGCGGGAGGAATGGGTGGCGCAAGTTTGCAGAATCTGCCAGGTTGAAACATTTGGCTCAGCGGTTGAGAGGCTCAGAGGCTCAATACAAAACTAGCGGCAGAGTTTTGGCCATCCTCCAACAACGTCTTCCTGCTTGGACGTTGGTCCCAAGCGCCGTAGGAGACCCCGCGGGATGCGCCAGAGATCCCCTTGCCCGGGGCACAGGCGCCGTCTGCAAGCCTCCAGCCCCAGGCCAGGCTTGAAGGGAGGCGACATCCAACCCTTATGTCAGCTTCGAAGTCCAATGTCATAGAGCAGCCTTCACCAACCAACGTCTGATCTCAATCATGGAGCAACAACGTGCCCACAACCGGCCGGCCGGTTCTCCTTTCCCGATATTTGTACATTGGGCTTGGTCTTGAACCGAATCGCCCCCAAAGAATCGCCCCCCAAAGAAGGACCTTTTGGACGTCGAGCGGCTTTGCCGCCTTTCGCTTGCAAAAGGCGATGGAGCTTTCGTCTTGTTCGGGGCTGCGGCGTCCAGGCTTTGGCATCGCGGCATGGCTTCGCGGCGGGGCCCCACGGGTCTCTACTCAGCGCCTCGGAATTTCGGACATGGGAAAGGGAGCGAGCTGTGGGGAACTGCGCAAAAGTGGGAGACCCTCTTTATTTTTGAGGCGTTTTTGTTTAGAAGGAACTATGAAGCGTAGAATTTGGAAATTGAAGGATTGCGTTTACACCTGGCCACTTGTGAGGTCTGGATAGGGCTCCATTTCCCCTTTCTTCATAGACATCACGTGTTGGTCCAATTTACGACAATATCACTCGGTTGAGGGAACTATGTGCCCTGAAATCTCATATGTGTATATATGTATATATACATATATACATATATATATATATATATATATGTATATATGTATATATATATAAATATATATATATATATATACATATATACATATATATATATGTGTATATGTATATATATATATATATATGTACACATACATACAACCTCTACACCTACCTGCCGGGAGCCCCGTTGAGGCATCAGCGGGGGCAGCGTCTTCGCCACGGGGCGGGAGGGTCAGCAGCTGCAGCTGGGCCCTCGGCCGCGGCCTTTGGGGTGCCTCAGCAGCTCCGTCTGCGGCCGCTGGTGGGCGGTGGGGGAGGGCTGCTTCGGGGGCCGCTCCGGACAGGCGGGAGGTGACGGGGGGACAGGGGTGGGGGGTGGGGGAGGCGAATGAGGTGGAGGAGGTGGGGGTTTGGGGAAGTTACAAGGACGACGAAGAAAAGGAGGAGTTCAAGGAAATCCTGGGCCCAAGCCAGCAATTCGATTGGTTCGTGCAGATTTATGAAACCAAAGGGGCGGGGGGATTGGGAAAATTGGAAAGGACAAACCGTGTCACAGTCATCGAGACAATCAGCGGGGAGTGGGGAGAGGATGAGAGGATGAGAGGAGAGGGGGATACTGTTCTGAGTAGCGGAAGCACCCCGAAAGCTGATCCATTTCTGGAAACTCCGTTGGGAATTAGACCTTTCTTTGGAGTTCCATAAAATTTTGCGGGGGGGGGGGTAGGGTTGGATGGGTGGGAGGGGTGGGGTTGGGGTTGCGACCTGGAGGCAAGGACTAAGCTCCCAGTTGCATGGCCCAGAGTCCAGCTTGTAAACAGTTGGTGCAACATGCGATCCATCCAAAAAGACTAGCTCACTGACCAAATGCCTTCCCCCCGTTCCCCGCCACATGACATGGGACCTCAATGGGGCAGGTTTCACCTCCGCCACCTCAGCACCCATACCCGGAGCTGAGCGGCGCTTGGCTTGGCAGGTCACGGTGATGGGCACGGGCCCCGAGCCGCTGGCCTCGCTGCCGGTGGGGGTCCGCCGCTCCGCACGCCACGTGTGCTGGGCGGCCCGTGGGGAGCTCCTGGCCGCCATTGTGGAGTTCGAATCCGAGCAGGCCCCTGGACCCGTGGGACCGTGGGGCCGTGGGGTTGGGGGGGTGAGGGGTGGAGCGAGCGGTGGATGTCGCATCAATTCAGCGCTGGCAATTCTAGTAAGGATTCTACTAGGAGCTTAATTTGAGGCCTCAAACCCTTGTAAACTTAGGGACCATCTTGGGTAGAAGCAAGGGTCAATGGGTTTTGGGCGCTCCACGAGGGGGAGGCTTTCCTCCCGTTCACCCAACCCAAAACCCTCTTGGAACCCATGCGATTCGCACGTCCCTCGCTCGTTGCTCACGTAGGCAGCGCCGGAGCAGCAGCTGATGGTTTGGTCCTGGCCCTCTGGTGAGCGCCTCGCCAGCTGCAGCTGCGGGCGAGGCATCCAGGAGATCCGAATGAACATGCGCGGAATATATGGGTGTGACTTTTCATAGGGGACCCTGTAGTGGATTTGACAAATTGGGGGTTTGATGGGTTCTATCGCAACGCGGGGGAGGGCCGCATCAGGTTGGGCAACATGTGCTAAATCAACCAAACTGCCGGACCCTCCCTCAGAACGGGCATTTGTATCAACCTGCTGAAACAGGGGCTCCTCCAAATAGCCCCGGAAGTTGGGTCGTTTCTTTTGGTTTCCCTCCCAAGCAGGGGCCGACTCATTTAGAGAATCCGGGGCCTCCCCCCGGCGTCCCCCACCGCGAAAGGCCCAAGTTAGCCAAAGCGGGGGCCGCACGCGGCGAGGACCTGGTGGGCGCGCCCGACGGCGCGGTGCTGCTGACCCTGGGCCTGGCCGGGCCCAAGGTGTGGACGCTGCTGCGCGCCCAGGACGGGCCCTGCTCCCGTCTCAAGGCAGCCCACCTTTGCAAAGGCCACCGGATTTGCAAGGAAGGAGGTGGACATTCTGGGCATGAACATTGTGTCAACGCCTTTGCGTGATGCAAAAAATGAATCCGATCATTGTGCACACACACACACACATTCACCCAAACTGCCCAGGCAACTTGTACAGTCCGATTTAGCATTCCTTCTCAGGGAAGATCGTTGAGCGGCGGGTGACAGGGTTTAGCCCTCTTCACGCATTTCTGGCCGCGTTGGACCCAACTAGAATCCACCAGCGTGGAAATGCCTCCACTTAAAAAAATAATAATAAAAATAAACACACGTCGACCCAGCCCAGCGGTTTGCAAGCCTTAGATATGTACATTTAGTGAAGATGGGATCATGGGCGTGGACCTTGTCATCTGCTTAGTCTCCAAACGCAGAGTCTATGATGTCCCTGTCAGGACGCCGTGGCTGCAAAGGCCCCTGCTGTGAAGGCGCCTTTGCGGCACATGGCCTTGATTCGGTTTGTGTTGGTGTTTCCGTGTTGTTTTCCTTGTTTTTTTGACTAGTGTTCACGGAAGGTTGGCGCTGTTTGCTTGGTGTGAACCTTGTATTGTCGCGAGTGGTCCTGGTGAGTTCGCAATCTTGCTGCGGCCTCAAGCTGCCCTATGTGTCGTTCCTGACCTTGAAGCTTCTTCCCTCCTGCTCTACCCGAGTTCGGAACAGCTTGTTGTTGGTTCATTTGTAATCTAAGGGACGGAGTCAGAGCCCTTTGTGTGGAGTCCTCATCAACAGGCTCCAAAGACTAGGGAGCCTAGATACTGTTCAGAGTAGCTTTGTGCCCCAGGATCTAGAAGCAGCCTTGGTCCAAGTATTGACTCTGGTATTCCAGCTGCGGGCTGCGTTGTTTCAACGGCTCCGCGCCATCACCATGATCCATGTCGCTGGATTCTGCATACCTTGAGCCTTGACTGGTTCATGTGCTTACTTTGCTAGATATGGCACAATCGCTGGGCTTGAAAACTCCTTCCCTTTTGAAGCATATATCAAACATAGCTGCGGGTGCTTCCCGTGAAGTCACTGTGAAATCGAGCTGGACCCCACCGCTTGACGAGACCCTCCAGTTGTACACGTATCCGCATCGAAATGATTTCTGGTCCTTCCTGCGGTTTGAACCTACACCCTGGTTCCTCAAGCTGCTTGCAAAATACTTTTCCACTTTGGTGGTACTGTGGATGGACAACTCATGAAACTTCATGGTTGATAAACCACCATCCCAACTGGCGCTGATCGGCGGACTCGGGTTTTGTTCCATCGCATTCTTCCAGGGGGTTCATCGAATTCCTGGCCCCCAAATGACCATGGGCAACATTTTCTAATTCAGTGGGAATTATCATGGTTTCTATTGGTTTCCCCCAAGGGTCATCCCATGTATCATGGACCTTTATGGCCAGGTGATTTTGCGGCTGGGCCTTCCTGTAGATGAACCCCTATGGTGGATATATTATCCCAGCTTGCGTCACATTCCCTCGCTGGGCGGACATGGCCAGGTCAGCCTGGGCGGCGCGCTGCCGCTGCGCCTCGTGGGCCGGGCGCTGCCGGTGACGCTGCCGCCCTCGCGCGCCAAGCGCCGCGAGGAGGGGCTGGTGGCGGCGGCCTGGGGCGCCTTGAGCCGCAAAAAGGAGCCGCAATAATCAAAACCCGGGTAGATATCAAAGGAGCCTGTGGTGGTAAACCACACGGTTGCCTCCGCACTCAACACCTGAACCACAATCAAAACCCGGGTAAGTGAAGGTTAGTAAGGGACGATCCAACCACAAATAGCTGTGGATATCCGCCTTCTGTATCCTGTACATGATTCTGGGCTTACCATTTTGGTACTAGGTTTTGATTGCGACTCAAAGCGAGTTGGGTGGGGTCCGGTTTTCGGATGGAACAGGTGCAGCGGACATGTTTCAGGAAGAACGGCTGATTTTGTAGAAAACAGCCAGGAGCCACCCTGGAGGGGTGTTTAAGTTCATTGGGTGGGGTCGGGAGGGGGTGAAGTGGAATTGTTTCAAGAAAAACTGTGGATCTTGTACAAAAACAGACCCCCAGGAGTTTTTGCGTGCTTGTTTTGAGGGTGCCCGTTTCAGCTGGGTTCAAAGGGCAACCAAAAGAAAGGCCCGTAATTTTGGGGGTTTACCCAAGTGGATGGTTTCCTTTTTCATCATTTTTTCAGATGGAACAAGGCAAGCTGTCCCAGGTTTTGACATCTTGCCAAGTCAGGTTCCAGAGGCCAGTAGGCACTGATGACTTTTCATCCTGATCCCCAAAATCCAGCCGATGTTTCTCGCACACTGAGACGCATGGGAGTACTTCAAAGCCAGCTCGCCAATCGGCCAGTTTCATGCCGGTTGTGTTTTCCACTGAACCCCCCCCATTTTCGTCTAAAAACCGTTGTTTCTGCCTTCCCAACAAACCCCTCTTGCCTCGGGGTCTTCTGGCGGGGGGCGCCCGCTGTAGGCCTCGATAGCTGCCTCTTCCTGGCCACGCGCCACGCCTTGGGCCTCACGAGCCTCGAGTCTGGGAAGCTGATGTGGCGGGACCTGCCCAGCCGCGCCTTCGCGCTCGCGCCCGGGATTTGTTTGGCCGGCCGCCGGAGTTCTGAACATATATGCGTTTTGAGGTGTGTTCAAGATGTGGGCCAGGGGTTGGCGAAATTGGCTGGAACTTTCCATCCTTGAAAACTCTGGCTGAAGCCAGATGGTTCCCTTGGAAATAATCAGTACCGGGGTGCCTGTTCTTGGATCCAGCCCGAATGTTTGAGGGATATACGATTCAAGGTGTACGGGTCCCTCAGTTGGGATGGGGCGTGACAGTCAGCGGATTCGGCGAACCGCTTGGCCTTTCGAAGTCCACTAAGGATTGTGGCATGCTCATGCTCCAATTCTTCCCCCGTTCCTGTGCATTCCAATAATTGACTTCGGATTCAACAATACCCATTTCTGGGCTTCCGGAGGGACTGGCGCAGATGTCTTTGGCGCTTGATGCTTATCCAAGAACCTTTGCAACCCGCATCACGATCAAACATCGCTGGGCTTGCACCCACTTTGTGTCCCTGCCTCTGAGAAAGGAGTCCTTCGGGAGGTCCTTCATAGGTCTGAACTGCCGGCGAAGTCGTAGTTTTGCCACCGCGTACAGCCCAAGATCCCGCAGATCCTGCAGATCCTGCAAACCCTTGTTGCTGGCGCAAATGAAGATTGTCCCCGTCCTAAGTGGACGTCCCCAAAGACAGATAGCAATCTGTGGTTCAACATCAGCCTTCCTGTGTTTCTTTCAAAGCGCAGTTGCAGAACAGAAATCTAGGAGAACTCATCATTTCCTTTCCACATCGGATTCATCACCTTTTGTGTTTCCCTTCAGTTCCCTTTAAATCCATCTTCAAAAAACAAGAGGTGCCCCCTCCCCCCCTTCGCAAAAATAAAGGGACAGCCAACCGCCCAAACAAAAAATACAAAAGAAAGACACAACGACCCCCCAAAAGAGAAACATCATAAAACGATCTCCCCCCAAAAGAAGCCCCTTCCCGAAAAAAAAGAAGAGAAAAGAGAGCCACCACCGCAGTGGGATTTTCCAAGGCCCTCCGCAAACAGACCACCACTTGTTGTTTTTGTTTTTTTCACTTGATTTTTCCTTGTTTCTTTTCTTTTTTGCTTACCTATATATACATACATATATGATGTATATTAGTTTTTTGTTTTTCCGAGGCCTGGAGTTGGAGTTTCTGCGGCCACAGCCGCAGCCGGGGCATCGTGGCCTGTGCGCTGCACGGGGGCCGGGTGGAGCTCCTGGACGCTCACGACATGACGCTCGGCTCGTTTTGGTGGAGACGGCTGGCTCCTCTTTTTGTTGTTTGGGGGGTGGGGGGGGGGTTGGGGGGGTGGGGTACCCTTTTTGGGGTGGTTTAAAGGGAAGCAGATGCGCACCAGCTCTTTTTTGTGGGTCAAATGTTTATGTTCTCCCATGTTTGTTTTTTTGTGTGTGCGTGTGTGGGGAAAGCCAACGGGAAACCAACAGGAAACCAGCCGTTTTGTGGGCCCAAATGCCTATTTTGAGACAAAGGGAGTAGACGTTTTGGCGGTTGGTTACATTCAGGGCTCCTTGGAAGATCATTTCTCGGGCATCGGGGGATGCATGTCGAGTTTCTTTTATGCTTGATGTGAAGCTCTGAGAGTAACGAGGAATGAGATGAATTGGATGAAACGCAGAGAAGCGCTTTATAGATCATTTGCAGTCAAAGCTTGCCGTGTTAAACGTGTTTCATGAAGGTGAGAGTTGAACAAGAAAGGAGCAACCAACGCATGAGCCATAGCTCACGAAGCAGCATCATCCAGAGCGGCAGAGGAAGTGTCGCAGCGTCCGTCGAGGTGTCGTGCTATAAATCAGCTCTGGTTGCTTATCACATCGCCGATTGCTGAATCTTGAATCAACCCATTGTTCCACGGTGGGGTGGTCCCTCGGTTTCCTCTTGCCAGTGGGCCGGACACCCTTTCCCACAAGATTCGGAAGACCAACATCATCATTGGAAGTAGGTCCCTGTCTACTTCTAAGATTGTTGGAAAGAGGGCAACTGCAACGAATCTGTGACCATGCCCTTTGCCCCTTTGGCGCATGCCGAAGGACCCCGCTTTGGGCGCTGGATGCAGGGCCCATGGACGCGGTGGGCCTGGCGTGCAACGCCTCTGGCAGCCTGTGGCTTGGCCTCACTCCGGATCCCCCGACCTCGGTTTGATGGTCAGATGTGGCTGTGGGTCAAAATAGGTACCCAAAATGGAACCCTGGCAAATGGAAAGATAGACTAAAATCTGCGGTCCCCTGGTGGCTTAGTTTTGATCCACACCCATGTGTAGAATGGGCTGGAGCAAGGTAGTTCTTGAACACATATCCAGCCCAAAGCACAGATATAGATCAGATGGAAGGCTCGGTACCAGGTATCCTCCTGTTGTTCATGGAAGTTGGCAGGCTTGACGCACAAGGAAATACCTTCCTGCTGAAATCCTACTGTTGCGAAGGACCTGCGTATCACCGGTTCTGGGTCAGTCTGTGTTTTGAAGGAGCCTTGGCACAGTGGCTGCTCAGAAAGGGTACTTGCATGCTGATGTGCTGTTTGCATGCTCCCCGTTGACAGACTGAATGATGGCTGTCCATGCCGCAACTTCTTGCCCTGTACCAGTCCAATTCTTTGGCCCTCAGCCATCAGCCGCAGGTCTATACTTGTATTCATGTGAAACGCCGGTGCACCTATCCATCCGAGAAAGCTATGCCTGAAAGGCTTGGCACCACATCCGAATGATGTAAACGCCGCCGCTTGTTGCCGTTGGATTTGAGTTTGGAGCGGCTGGCTCGCTCTCTTCCCGGGCGGGGCTTCGGCGCCAGGTGGGTGCTCCGAGGGGACCGCTCCCTCGCCTGCTTCGAGGATCTCCAGAAACCCGCCTGGTCGCTGCCCACAGTGCACGACCTCCGCGGAGCGCAGGCCGAAAGCCGAAAGTCCCACAGGTGTGTCGTGCATGTGAGCTGGTGCCTGTTTTGTTGGGGTTGGTTTTGAAGGGAAACCAGAAGGAACACGCGAATGTTGCTGGCTTGCAGAGCCTGCTCCCTCGATGCCTTCAGGCTGTCCAAGTAGAGGGCAATCGGAGTTTTGTGGAGGCAGTCATCTCACATAACCGCAGCCAACGTTTGGCCTTGTGCCACTCTGCCAGGCCTTGCCGGGCAATCTTCTCACGCGCTTGGTGACGTTCTCTTCCTCCAGCGTCCAGCTTTGGAGCCTTTTGCATGGCGATTTGCGCCTGGAGGCGAGGTTTAAAAGTTTCGTGCAGTGCATTTGACCTTTTTGGACACCCTCTTTTAATTTATGCCCTTCTTTTTCCTTTTCGACCCTTCCTAGCAGTATCTCTGCAAATTGGACACTTTTGTACCCCCTGGTGAATGTGACCAACCGGATTCCCACCCCAGGTCCAAACGTATCAGAAAAGAAGAAGTGAGTGTTCCTTGCCCTGCATCTTTTTTTTTGGGGGGCGAATTCCCATTTTTGGGATTGCTTTTGAAAGGAAACCTTGCCATTTGGTGTTGGGGGCGGTCCCCTAAAAAAGACGGACCGATTTTCCACCGGTCCAAAGACCGCCCAACCGCGAGGCGGCGACGCCGGCGGCGCAGGTCACGGCGCTGGCGGCGTCCCCGTGGCTGGTGGCCGTGGGCTTCGCGGGCGGCGAGCTGCGGCTGCTGGGGGCGCTGAACGGCCTGCAGCCGCTGGCCACGCCGCCGCTGCACCACTCCGCGGAGGCCGCCCTGGGGGTGGGGCGGTTGGGGTGGTTTGGGGTGGGATGGGAGATGGAGATGGATGGGAGGGAGGGAGTTTTTTGGGGGCGTCCAGTTGGGCGTGTCTTTTTGAAGGTGGACACGTTCCAACATGGGTTGTTTTCCTTTGGGTGTTCCTTGAAAAACACAGAAGGGGTACCCTCAAAACAGACCGCCATTTGGTTTCTCAAGGGTTCAGTGGGTTTTGTGGGATTCCAGGGGCTTCGAGGAGGTCGGAGGTGGATTTTACCAGACCAGTTCGTTGCATCTCCTTGTTTCGTCTTCTTGGAGGTGGCAACAAAAGGGGTGGCCTTTGCCGCGAAAGGGGGAACGTGAACCTTTGGGGAGTTGCAGATGGCCTTGTCCTTTTGTGGGGCCAAATATCCCAGCAAAACCTGGGGGCCCTCCCAGCAAAGCCCAAAACAAACCGCCAAAAGCCACGCGCGGTGCGGAGCTCAGGTCTTGGGCCTGAGCTTCGGCGCCTGGAAGCCGGCGAGCTTGCGGCCCCTGCTGCTGAGCTCGGTGTCCGCGGACCGCAGCTGCCTGGTCTTCCGCATCGAGCTGCAGCAGGGGCTCCAGTCCACCGAGGCGACCTTTTTTTTCTTCTTCCTTTTTTCTTCTTCTTCTTTTTTCTTGTTTTTCTTTTTTTTTCTCCGTTTTCCTTGGGGAAAACATGGCTGGGGAAGGAGCCCCGGATTTGAAGGGTGGGCTTTGTTGGTCGCAGAGGGGGAAAGAACTTCCCCCCCCAAAAAAACACGTTGAGCAAAAACACGTGAAGGTTAAGCAAAAGGGTTTGTCTGGAAATAGAAAACGTTAAGCAAAAACGGGACCTCTTTTAATGAAAGGGGGTTCTATCAAACAAACAAACGGGGCCCCGTAAAGATGACACACCAAGGTGCAAGATAGGGGAATTGAGTATTCGGGTTGCAATTTTTGGAGGCGAAAGGTTCCCTTTTCGGGTTGAGGGACACCGACAGAAAAGCCGAACCAGTTTAGAGGAATGGGAGTTGCTTGAAATGGTGGACCCCCTTTTGGTTGGGGATACCCTCGACTTCCCATCACATTCACCTGTCTCAAAAGGGCTTTACAATGGCTGTGTGGTGTTTTTCTGAGGGTGTACCCTTTTCCGATCGGTTTAAAGGAACCAAAAACGCCTATTTTGAGAGACACCAGAATGGAAACCGAGTTGAAGGAATGTGGGGGAAGATGTGGGATTTACAGTTTGATTGTTTCCCCAGCTGGTCGGTTGCCTTGTTTCCAATTCACTTCAGAACAAAGCAAAGCGAAAAATGACGGAATCAATTTTCAGGTGTCCCATCACCAAGGCTCATGTCCTTATTTTTTGTCTGGTTCGTGTGAACCGGAAGGGAGACCGGTATGGGAAGGTGTCACCTCCATGGCTCGGTTTTGTCGTCGCCTCCAGCCGACTCCCTAGTGGTTATGACAGACGTACCTTTCTGGTGAAGACTCCATCCCAAGTTAGTCCTGTCCGAGCCAGCCCAATCGCCTGAGGTTCGGTCACAATATCCAATCTATGAAGTTGGGGACATTGAACTCGCGAAGTTTCAGCAGGCAGTGGATTCTCTGACTTGCCCAAAGAAGCAAGGTTTGATCGTTGCGCACCCTTCGCCAGGTGAGTCCCCTGCTGCATTTGCAGAACCACTGCGGCCCAGTGCAGCACGTGTCGCTGGCGGCGCAGATGGAAACCACCCAGCCGAACAGCGAGATCTTCCGCTTGGTGGTGTGCACGTCGGAGCAACTCATCTGGCGAGAGGTGGCGCCTCCTCTGCACCAAGCTGGGTCCAGGTTGAAAAAAAACACACACAAAAAGCAGGTTGACAGGTGGTTTGTCAACCAGCGGAGGATTTCATCCATCTCAACTGGGGATTTTGATCATCTACGGTACGTGTCCGTTCTTTTTGAGATAGTTTGGTTGACAACAGATGGCGTTTGGAGTGTCAGTTTCATTCTAGGCTCATCTATCACACCTTTTGGGGCCTTATCCTGGCTTGGAAACATGTGAATCTTCTTCCTAGATTCTTTGTGGTGTTAAATGTTTGCTTTTTTACTTGCTTGCTTGCTTGCTTGTCTCCTTGATTCATCAAGGAGCACACGGATGGCGTGACCACAGTGCACAAGTGCGCCCGCCAGCAGGCCGCCAGAGGCTCAAGGCAAGGAACGCTTGGAGCGCAGGGTGTCAGGAGATCCTCCGTGATTCTTAGGATGATAAGAACAAGTGTTTGAACAACTTTGAGCAACTTTGAACCTCGGTTGAGCATGTTTTGTTGAGTGGGTGTGGGTCAAACAATGGTACCCAAAAATGGAACTCTGATAAATGGAAACAAGGACTAACACCTGCTGTTCTGTGGTGGTTTTATATTGTGAACTTCCAACATGTGGTTCTCCTTGCCATTTCTAGTCAATGGATTCACCTCATTCATTCACTTCGTTCATGTGTCTAGATATGGGCTATTGGACTTTGTCCATGACATTCACTCCACGATGTTACGTGACTACTCTGCCCAGTTGTTTGGCTTCATCGCATTAACACTGTTGACTTTCGTTGCATTCGCTATTGCTCTGTTTGAACAACGTTGAAACTATCAACAAATGATGGACGAAGGCTCTTGTGCTTTGCTCACCAACTCCCAACTTTGTGGTTCGTGGCTCCTTTCCAGAGAGGCACGTAAATTGCTTGGGTGCCCGGCATCTTGAGTTACTGGGCCTTTGTTCAGGCATGGGGTACTCCTGGACAACAATCATGATGAGCATTGGACTTTTAGATTCGTAGTTGGCTTCATAATTTGAGCACTGCGCTTGCTGGCCACTTATTTAACAGAGTAGTTTTCTGATATGACTTGATGAAATGATCCCCACCCATTCCCCAAAGCAATGACCCTAAACAGCTAGGCAAGAACATTGACAGAAAGAGAAGCACTCGGTGTGCAAGGCGGCCATGTGTTTTCATCCCGTAAAAGGAGTGTGCATTGTTGCGGCAATCAAGGGCGCTATTCCGAGGCTACAGCCGAAATCGAAGACGCAAATACATGTCAACTCAAACGCAGCCTTCAGTTTTTTGTGTAGGCCCATAATTTGGGGCCACCCTCCCTTGTAAAGCTTTGGGGGGGATGTTCACGTTGGCGGTTTGTTGCCAGATCGGGCCACCTTAGATGGATGGACCTCATTGGGGGATGGAGGTATGGATGATGGTCTCAGACAATGTGTATGCCGACTGCTAGGTGGCCCGAACCTTCAAAGCCCACAGGTCATGCCAGTCATACCGCCTGACGTGTTGGAGCGAGCCTTACGCACTGCTCGAAGTGGTGATCGTGAGCTTTTTGAGACTGAAAGGCACAATGGCAGCTGGCAGCTGTTGATGATTGTGACTCAACCTCGGCAACAGCCCGGCTTCAGCTGGTGGCGGGCCGTCAGGCCGCAGCAGCAGGATCGGTGGTTGGCGCAACAGGCAGAACAGGCTCTCAATATGAATCAGGTCATAGACCAAGGATGTGACTACGAAGTGGAGATGCCCTAGCGTCACCAGCTGGCCAATGTGCACGCGAGGCATGTCGCCGCAGAGGGTGGCAATCCGCTGGAGAAGGAGGAAGTAGCCGATGCTCAGCTGTTTTGCCGTCCCGCAAGGTTGCCAACAACCAGCCCCCATTAGACGCGGCCGTCTGGGGGCTTATGGTGAACGCATTGCCCGGGCCATGATGGCCAGTGCAAGGCTTGAGCTGCGGGGAGCTTCGGGTCTGGATGCCGCACCTTTCGCGTGGCCGGCTGGGATCTATACTCCTCGGAATATCGAAGTTGGGTGCGGCGCTGCTGCGTGGCACTTTGCTGCCCATCCACCAATCTCAGCCTTTGCTGTCAGCCAGCGGGAACCAGGAGTTTGAAAAGCCAGCTTTTGTACCCGTTAACGGCCTCGCTCAGCCCCACCAAGCCCGCAGCCCAGCCGGGAAAGATCAGCTGGTGCGGAGTGAGAGGCGAGCTGCGATCCGCAAAAGGACTATGAAGGTGTGAGCATCTGCCATGCCTGGGGTCGTCACGGCTGCTCCAACGACACGTGCGGCCTTTGCGCTGTTTCAAAGTGTTGCCCGCCAGACAAGCAGGGGCCATCGGCAAAGCGCAGGCGCCTGCTGAGAACGTGGCAGCAAAGAGCACACTCGAGGCAAATTCACGGAGCTATGTGCAGGTGAAGCAGGGCTTGCTTCGGCCGAGTGACTTGGCCAAGCAGGGCTGTGTCCTGCGCAACAACGAGGACTTCAAGAAATCAAGAATCTGATCAAGGAAAAGAAAGTACGTTGGGCGCACACTGCACTGTGTGTCAAGACACTTTCCCGTGCAAAGAAGAAAGTCCGGCATGCGAAGATGCGGAGCCTCTGATCTGCTGCTGCGCCAGAGGCCTAGAGCCAAAGACCAAGAAGGTAGAACGTGAAAGACACGAAGTTGTGGCCTCAAGATCGGCGACTGAGAGTCAGTGTGAATATGGTGGCCATGTTGTGCTCGAGGCCACCCTCCCTTGCAAAGCTTTCCCACCCGCCGCAAATTCTGCACCGCAGTGACAGTCCCGCTCGCTGTGCTGAGGGGGGTGCTGGTGGCGTTGCCACACACCCAAACAGGGAGACACCAGGGATGGCAGGCCAACACACTAGCAAAAATTTGGGATTCCTTTTTCTTGACAAACAATCACCAGGATTCCCCGCACTTTTTTCCTGGTTGCCCACGTTTTCTTCCCCCAAGTCACTTTTTGTCTTGGCTTGCCAGGTGGGTGGGCGCCTGCGCGGACGGCGCCCGCGGGGTCTTCTATGCCGCCTGCACCTCCAGGCGCCTGCTGCAGCTGGACGCCCAGGGGCGAAGGCTCCAGGAGCTGCGCCTGGCCGGGGCGGCGCGGGGCTCGGAGCGCGCGGGGAACGGACCGCGCCGGGTGAAGAGTTGTGCCCTGCGAGGTTTTCAAGTTAAAAACCCTTGAGAGGGAGGACGTCCCCCCCCAAAAGTGAGTGTGTTTGCGCTTACTTTAACCCTCAGGTTTTTGGTTGACTGACACCATGTCGTATTCCTATACAATGACAGGATTCTATGAGAGGCATTTCTCCAGTGTCTCTGCGCATTTTCTGTCCGTCGCTGCTTGGTTTCGTTTCTCATGGTAACCCAGGATGAAGCTAATGGGAACCCAAGATTGATAAACCGTCATAACCCCTCCTGTCAATCAGGGGGTTGTTCCCCTCAAGTGATGCTTCCCCACTAAACCCGACACCCGCCGAATAAACTGGGGTTGATTCATCAGGGTTCCCATGAGTTTGCTTTGTTTTGAGATGGGTGCCGTCGGACTCTTGAAGGTGGAGATTTGCTCGTTGCACCTCAGCGGGGACGGGCGCCTGCTGTGCGCGGGCCTGCGGAACGCTGCGGGCATACTGCTGCTGCTGGCGGAGGAACGGATGGGAGATGGACTGTAAAACCACAAAAAAAACGGGGGTACCAACTCCAAAAAAGACAGACCCTTCAAAGCCTTCCATGAGACTAGACGCCTCTTTCCATGTGAATCCATCCGCCTTCGCTCGCTCCCCCCCGCCCGCGTCTGTCGCTCGAGGAGCTGCGGCCCTTGGCGCGGCTGGCGGCGGGGCAGAACGAGGCGGCCTCCGCCGTGGCGATGCACGGGGACCAGGTGCTGGCCGGTGCCTTTGGCCGCAGAAATGCTTTTGTGGCGTTTTCACGGAGGAAAAAAACACAACAAACACTGGATCAAGATTGCCCTCTGAATGGAAGATCAAGACCCCTCTTGTTCCATTTCCTGTGAGGTGACAGGGCGTGGGAGGAAGGGAACTGTGACCTGGTCTTCTATTTTCTCAAGACTTTATTTTTGTTCTCCCTTGTTGGTGTTAAAAGGAATCTATCACTACTGGACATACTTTTATTTTTTCCAGGGGTCTTAACTTTGTTTCTCGATTGCATTGGGGATCCCCCCCAAGATCTTTGTTGGTGTCCCTTAGAAAGCCAAAGTTTGGCGCGATCCTTCGCCAAATGGAAGATTTTGTTCTGTGGTTTTTCTCGATTGCATTGGGGATCACCCCCCCCCCCAGATTTTGGTTGGTGTCCCTTTCAACGCCAGAGTCGGAGTTGGAATTTGCAGACTTGGGGTGTTGGTTTCCCTCTTAAATCGGTTTTACATGTTTACACCTTATTGTGGGTGGGATTGCAGATTTGAGTTTGTCTATTTTTTGGGGACCCCCCAAACATTGAGAAGAATGTGCCTGCTCAATATGGGTGTGTCTCAAGTTGGGTCCCAAAATGGCAACCGTTTCCTTGGAAAGTCTTTTTCGGATGGTGCCTGCGAAGAAGAAGAAAACTCTTTTTTGGGGGTACCTTATTGTTGGGGTTGGTCTAAAAGATGCGAGGGAAACCAACAAGAAACAAGCCATGTTGGGGCCAACCTATTTTGAGACAGCAGTTTCTCCCGAAAAGAAACGTGCGGGGAAGCGAGGGGTTGCAACATTGTATGTAGATCTCCGCTTTTTTTTGGGAGCGCTTTTTGGCGTTTGGAGATGGCGGTTTTGCAGATTTGCCACCATTTTTGATTGGTTGGGGCACCACCTAATTAATTTGGTTGAAGCAGCAAGTGGGCCACCAACACCAGGCCTGTCAACATGAGCTTGCGAAGGCTTTGAGGTCAATTGATTCTGATCACATCAGTTGCGGTGAGCGGTTTCTGCTATCCAAGTTCCTGGTCAGCTTAGGCTGGCTGGATGGCACCATGCTGTCCTGGCAGGTGCCAGAGAAGGCTGGATTGTGTGTTGGGGAAGCGCTTCCAGGTTATGAGCGCTTCAGTTCCCCAAGTTTCCAAGTTCTGGGCCAATTGAAGATCCGTGCCCTTTGGCGATGTTCCAAGCGAGCCCGGACTCCACCCACCCCCACCCAAAGACAAGGTGGGAATTGTTCAGACCTCCAGTGGCCAGGGGAAAAAAAGGGGAAAAGCGGACGACCTTCAGCTGAGCTCCCATAACAAAACAAATCACAAAAGTGTCCTTTGCTGATGAAGGGAGCCCGGATTTCTGTAGGATCCCTGGATGCATCACAACGGCACCTGAGCAGTTGGTCGGACACCCTTCAGCTGAGCTCCCAATTTTCGGTGAGTTTGCTTTGGTGATGTCGAAGGAAGCCCGGATTTTTGTAGAAAAAGGGGTTCCCTAGCCATCACCTGAGCATTTTTGTAGAAAAAGGGGCTGGATGTTCAAATAATCCCTGGACCATCACAACGGCACCGTTCCCCTCGACAGGCCATCCCCCGCGCGGAGCCGGAGGAGCGCCGCACCTCGCCCCGGCCCTCGGGGCTCTACGCCCGCGGCGCCGCCTCGACGTCTCCGCGGCGCCGCAGCGGCAAGGGCCAGGGCCGCTCCTCCGGCGGTTCCCTCGCCAGGCCCCGGGCAGGGGCCAAATCAAAATTCGGGGGGGGGGGGGTCTGCTTTTGTTGAATTGGGAGGTGTTTGCTTTTGATTCCTTTGTTCAAGCTCTCCGGAAAAAAAAAGGGCTTGGTTGCTTTCAAGCTCTCCCAAGAAGAGGCGCCTCTGAATTGAGATCCGTCCGTATGGCCTTTCTTTTGTTGAGTCCAAGAGCCCCATGGTCCAAAAGTGCTGGGTACCCCAATGCCCCGTGGTCAATTCATGGAATCAACCACTTGCTGGTTCTCAGTAGGGAATGACCCCAAGAAAAAAGAAAAAGAAGAAAAAAGGCGCACCAGCCACCGCCAGGCCCTGGGCGTCCTCCCACACCATGTCCCGCACGGCGATGCGCGGGAAGGTGCCAGAGGAGAAGTTCCGGATCCGGGACGCCATCAAGGCGGGAGTGCTGCTTTTCTGTTTTTTTTGTTTTCCTTCCGATTTTCCCTCAAGGGTACCCTTTTGAGTGTTTCTTTGTTCTTTTCTTTGTTTTTTATTTCAGTGGAGGGTAGCCTTTTGGGAGGGTGGTCTAAACAAACACAAGGTTTCAGGTCCCTTATTTTGGACAGATATCCAGGAGGGACTTGTGATGTAAAGCATGCGTGCCTGTGTGTGCGAGTGCCACGCTTTGATTCTTGGAGGAAGCGGCTTGGATTCGCCCATTTGGCTGCCCAAACACCCTCTGCGCTCCTTGCCCCCTCGGGAAGAGAGAAAACGCCTTTCCCAAGAGACTGCGCTTGGCAACTCTGCATTCTGCAGGCTCAGATCTCGCAAGAGGAGAAGGCCAAGGATGGTGAGAGGCAAGGCAGAGGCGGGGCCAGAGATGAAATGCCAAAAAGATGCCTCAAGGCTCCAGCGGCTTGGATCCTGCGTTCCGGAAAGCTGGTTCACAGGTTGGGGCAGGGGGCTCAAAGACGGCGACGCAGCCAGCGATGGGTTTCTCAAAGTAGGGTAAAGCTCTGAAGATGGTTGGTTTCCTTTTGGTTTCCCCCAAAAAAATGGCAACAAGGGGCTTTGCTTTGAGAACCCCCCATAGGGCCTGCGTCTTTCCATCGCAACAGTGGAGGTATGGCGACCCGCCCAGATGGCTTGCAAGAGCTCCGGCGCTTGCTGGCCTCATCACCGAGCCCCCCCAAGTGGGCCGAGACATCGGTGGTGGAGGCCGATGGGAGTCGCGCTTGGTCGACGCAATGATCATGTCATGGCTTGACATCGAGGATGAAAAGATTTGTTGGCAACTTCTTCAACCTGAGTTTTTGCATGAAGCATCACACATGTCAGAATATCCTTGGGCGTTCCGGGCCGGTTTCATGCTACCGAATGTTTTCCCCGGGCAAATTCGCAGCACATTGTACCCATAAATCTAGGGGACACCATTCTTTCCAGGGATCCTTCTTTCCAGAAAACCATCAGAAACAGCTGGTTTTTTCAAAGAACGATGGTTGAAAAGAATGGGGAATTAGCCCTTAGAATAAAACAAGACACTGCAATGAAGTCCCGGCCACCCTCCGCACCCAGCTCCATTCCAAGTCGCCTCTTCAGCTCCGCCTCGGTTGCAGGACGCCAGTGAAGCGGCGGCCATGGCCGAAGCCTTGGAGAAGGACGCGGTGCCCATGGGGAAGCAGCACGGTTGTGGTTGGGAAAACATTTTCCTTTTTTGCTTATTGTGGTTTAGTGGTTGGATTTCACAACCACTTCACTGCCAAAATTCAAAAAATGCGCCCCTTCCGACGCCAACCAAGGTGGGCGCGCGGCAGCCTGGTGGGCGCGCAGGTGCGCTCGGCCTCGGAGCTGCACCACAGGTCCTTGGAGCTCGAGGCGCGGAAGGGTTTTGGATCGGAGCCAAAGGGAGACTCCGGGGATTCGCCGGCGGGTTCCATGGTAGGGGAGTCGGCCTTAGCCCATAGGTGAAGGGATTCCGTGGGGTGGTCCCTTGCCTTTTGGCTTTTGGATTTGTGCTCTTTGGGCCCAATGGGTTCGTGGAATCACCAAGTGTGATGGACCATGCCCTCTGAATTCTTCATACCTTTTTCAGTGCCTGCATCCTTGTCCATACAAACTGTTGACACCATTGTGATGCAACATTACACCTACCAGTTTCACTCGACTCCAGCAGCTCCCCAGAAACACGTCAGGCGGAGGCGCCCCGGTACCGCTGCGCCTCCGAGGGCGTGCAGGTGGGCCCGAAGCGCCGGCTCTTCTGCGCCTGCGGCAGGCCGGGCGCGGAATCGAATCCAACAAGAGAAAACGACAGGAGGTGCCTGACTGGGGGCTGAAGCTTTAGAAGCTTGCCTTGTTTCTAGCTCAAGAGTAGTTTGCAGCGGCAACGTTGACTGAGTTTGGTTGGAAAGTTGGCTTTCCGGTTTCTCTCTGCATTTTCCCGTGGAGCGACATTTTGTTTCACATTTACCCCCGAACTTGGTGTCACTTGCAAGCGGCATGGGACCTGTGAACATGAAGACATATGTTGCGCATACATCTGGGAACGATGGTCTACGTGTGTCTGTTTGTGGGGATGCCATAAATACGATGTTCTGTTTATGCAATTACTTGTTTTGATGGCCTTCTTCTGGGTTCTGTTTTGGTCACAGAAAGGCATTGCCTTTGAGTGAGTTTGAGGCATCGCAGAAATGTATCTCGCCGGCTGTTGGCCACTCTGCAAGCTTCCAACTCTAACCCAAGATGCTGAGCGCAGTCGTCATGGCCTCGTCGATTGGACCCTTCTAGGCACGTACATTTTGCAGAGCCAAGCTGGGACCCTCGGGCTGTTGACACTGTCAGCATTTCTGCCTTTCACAGAACGGATGAAGGGCACACCCCTTCCGTCCTCAACAGATCGTCCGAGTGACTTCCATGTGTTTCTCCGAGTTTCTGAGCATCTTGCATTTTTTGTCTCTACCACCGTGTGTTTGGCAAGCAGGCCTTTTTGGGCCTTGATGCTACGGAGGTCTCCACTCATTCAAGCTGTCCTGAGGGAGCGAGTGTCACCCAAATCACGAAAGATTTGGCAGGGGCCACAGCCACCAAGCAGGATGAACAAACCGGTCCCGGATACAAGCAACTCCGTGCTGTTTTCCATCGCGAGTCGTGTTAAGGCGGTTTCAAAATAAAACGGCTTTTGGCATCCACAGGGTAGCTGCCAGGTGCACCACTCGGAAGCTGCCGCCGAAGCCGCTCTTCCCGCCCCCACTGGAAAAGGCGAGGCGGAAGCTCGCAGCGGCGCACACTGTTGCGCGTTTGCATTCGGATTAGTCTTTCAATTGTCAAGGGTGCCCTTTCTTGGGTGGTGCCAAAGGCAAGCCAAAAGAGAACCAATCATTTTTTGGGGATCCCCACCCCATTTTGTCGCATACCTATGTTTCGCGCTGTTTGGCAAAGGTTTGTTGAGTCATGTCGCTCGCTTGGCGGCTGACGTGCGATTTTCCTTCCACGTGCACACGGTATTTGCCATGACAGGAGAACGGCCGGCCTTCGGGACCGGCAGCTGCGCAATTGAACCCATGCCATTAGGGGGGTGTTCCCTCCAAGAGCGGTCTGAATCCAACCACTAAAAGGGGACACCTTTTATTAATCAAGCAGGGGTTTATTAATCAGGGGTTAACATCAATTGCTTGGTGCCCATTATGAGGCAAGATGCAATTGAAGGCAATGGTCTTTTATGCAGGAGGCTCTGCGCGGATTGATGCGTCGGTTGCTTGGGCTGGTTCAGTCCAGAGCGCCTTTCCAGTTGCCATGGCCACGCTTTTCATGTCACACTTTAAGGTTTGCCAAATGGACCAGAATCAGAACATATAGTTTTTGCTTCGGGGGCAAGAGCTGAGGTAGCTTCACCCACAGAGGTGGTTCATGGTTCCGAAAGCCCGGCAGGCGCCGCCCCTGTTGGCCGCGCTGCCTACGCCATGCAGAAGCAAAGCGGAGGCGAAGCCAAGCCCGCAGCCTGGCTCGTTTGCCCAGTCCGCTTGCCTGAGGCACGCGTCCCAACGGCTTCAGTTCCTTCTTGTCGATTGATGTTGCCTTTCGGTTTGCAGCAGCAGCAGCAGCTCCTGCTGCAGCAGCTGTGCTGCATGCAAGCAACAATCTGATCTTCGCATTCTTGTCTGACATTGAAGAGAAAGACGTTCAGCCTTGCGTCGCGACAATATTTTGTTAATGTTGAAACGCATGTGGAAACATGAACTGTGTTGGCAATGCTTGACCACAATGGCGCATGCCATTTTGGCTCAAGCTTTGCCCTGGGTTCTCTGAACCCAACTTGTGTGAAAAATTTGAGGTGAAACACTTCCGAACTAACCCCGAACCAGCAATGGCCTCCTCGGCAACCTCGGCAACTTCCTTCGAGCTGATTGAGGACCAGACGCTCACTGCGGAGGAGGTGGAAATGGCCAGCCAGGCGGCCCAGGAAATCCGCACACGCGAGGCGGCAGTGGCGGCCGGCCTGGTGTTGGACGAGCCCGAGGCCCCCCCGTCGGCTTCGGCCACCGACGTGATGAACGACCTTTCCAGTGCACTGGAGCGTCTCCGTGTGGCTTTCTCCACACCGACTTCCGGCTTGGGTGCCCCTGGCCCCGCCGATGAGGAGGACCAGGACATGGACGATGCGGACGCCACGGAGAAGGCTACTCCACCAACGAAGAGGCTGAAGGGTTTCGTGGCGGCTTCCCAGAAGACCTCGGCTCCGGTGAACAAACCGGTCTCCCTTGTGGCGGTGGAGGGCCGTCCTGGCTACTTCAAGTTAGTGGACCTCCCCGACCTCTTCCCGGTCCTTCCGGCATCGGCGGCCACGTTGCTGAGGGACGTTACGGTGGAGGAGGCGGTCTCCCTGTTCCACAAGTTTGTCGGGAAGAACCTCACGGAGGACTTGGTGATTCGCATCCTGGAGGCCTATGTTCCGATGAAGATCCAGATCCGGCAGGAGGAGGTCTGGGCCTCACAGTTCCAGAGGAACAAGGCGTGCATTGGCACCCAGCGGATCCCTGGCACCAACACACTGCTCGGATAAAAGAGTTATCGCGTGCCTGTGTGTGGTGCCGTTTGGTTAGCTTGCATACACTTTGTTAATGTTGAAACGCATGTGGAAACATGAACTGTGTTGGCAATGCTTGACCACAATGGCGCATGCCATTTTGGCTCAAGCTTTGCCCTGGGTTCTCTGAACCCAACTTGTGTGAAAAACCCACCCACCCACACCAAGGTCGGAGGTCATGGCGGCCAAACGGAGGAGGTCCCAGCGGAGTTCAAGGAGGACGTGGCAAAGTTGCACAAGCCACTGGCGGCCATCCTGGTGGGGAAGGAGATCCCCTGGGCCACCCAGGCGGCTCTGGGCGCATCGGGATACGTCACGGTGGAGGACCTGGCGGATCGCTGGGACACCCCGGCGGCGGCTAGGGAGAATGGTCCCCGGGACCTGGGATTCCGGGATGGGGAGAACGGGTTCAACGCCCAGACCGGGGGGGCAACCAAGGCGATCACCCGGCGGGCCAGGCGGGCCCGACAAAGGCGCCCCTGGAGGTCCTGTGTGACAGGCGCCAGCTGGAGGATGCTTACGTGGCCACGCATGGGACCCCGAAGCCGAGGTTGGAGTTCCAAGGGAGTGATGGCTACCTCAAGAAGCAGTGGCGCATGATTGCCAAGGGTGAGCTGGGCTACATCCCGGCAAAACACATCGTGAGCGCGCTCCCGGAAGAGGGGGAACGCCCCTCATCCACCCACAAGAAGATCACGGTGGACGGCTGGGACAGGGAGGATGAAGAAGAGGTGAGGAGCCACCCCACATCCCGGCGCCAGCTGGAACGGTTGCACCTAACCTTCAGGACGACGCTCCTGATGTGCACGGCAGCACTGCCACAGTTTGGCAACCTGAAGGTCACCAAGGAGGAGCTGGATGATTGGTATGCCTGGTTTTATGGGGAAGACATCGCCGGCAGGAAGCCTCCCCCGAGCGACACCACCTTGCTGTTTGCAGAGCGCAATGCATGGCGCAAGATCCACGAGATGGTGCACCAGGGCACCACTCTCTCCGATGCCCTCAAGAATATCAGGGGCGACTTCCTCTTCTGGCAACGGGAGGTCTATGAGCACCTCAACAGGGCGCCGGAGAAGGGGAAGAGCAAGGGCAAGGCACCCAAGGTGTGGCAGACTCAGTGGGAGAAGCCCAAGAAGGGGGGAAAAGGCTCCTGGCCCTCGGGGCCGACCCGGTCCAAGCCAAAGGGCAAGGGCGGCAAGGCGAAGTCCCCCAACTCCCCCTCGGTTCCATGGCCGGACCACTGGGCTTTCAAGAATCCCAAAGGGGTGGCGTACTGCAGAGATCATCACCTCCACAACAAGTGTTCGGGATCATGCGGCCGATCCCACAACTGCCCGGTCAGGAAGGATGGATGGGTTTGCGATGCCCCCCCATCGAAGCATGTGCCACAGGCATGCCCTCACCTTCCCAAGTGACAGGAGGCCACTCAGGGTGCCATAGGCCCCGTGGCTTCCCGGTCTCAGTTGGGACCACAGGCCGAGAGCCGACCCCACCAGAGCCACAGCGAAAGGCAGACAGAGCGGGGGAGGCCAGGACAGCCTCAGATGGGAGGGGACTTCTCCAGGGTGCCACCGACCCCGGAAGCCCCTCCACCGAGGAAGAGGAGCGGTCCCAGCCAGGGCACTCCAGAAGGGCGGAAGCATCCCTTTCCCCGCACCCACCGAGGCAGTGGGAAGACCCCCCAGAGAGACCCAGAGGTGAGGATCCACCCGGCAAGGGGCGCTCCAAGGGCGGGAAGAACCGCCAGGGCAAGCAGCAAGCCCAGGCCAATCCCCAGGGGGGCAAGCCCCACCTTCCCATGGATGCAGAACATCCCGGAAAGACTGAGGCTCAGACTGAGGTGGACGCCACGGCCGGTTCCGGAGTCGTCAAAGCCGTCCCTCATCCTGCTGTACGCGGGGAAGGATGATGCGGGGGCCCTGGATGCCTACCTCCATGCCGGCCTTTTCGGAGTACATTTGGGCGGTGGATATCAGGCGAAAGGGTGGAGACCTTGGACAGGACATGCTGGGCGAGGAGCCTTACTCTACGATGTGCTCCATGGCCATGGCGGGCAAGGTCGCCTTGGTGGGGGGCGGCCCCACGTGGAGCATCCTCAGATGGTTCCCCAAGCCGGGGGGCCCACCGCCGGTGAGGGGCAGAGCAGAGCAGACCCTGTGGGGCTTGGAGGGCTTGGAGCCCCGGTTATGGAGGACACGGACAATGACAGCGTGCTCATGCTCCGACAGATGTACCTGACCTCGCTGGCCTACAAGGGGCTAGGTCAGCTAACGGTTCCGCAGATGGGTTCCTCCTTCTTGGAGCACCCGATGGACCCGATGGAGTGCAGCAAGAGCCCGAGCGCAGCGAGGTGCTCATCGATCTGGGTCACGCGGTACATTCAATGGGCGAGTGCACTCCACCACTCCCTCATCAAGTTTGACGAGTGCCGCCTGGTTGTGAAGTCCACGACATTGTCAACGGACCTTCCACTTCACCACTGGCATGATCTGCGTTGCAACCACGGGGCTCACCCCAGAGGGGAAAAGCTCAACTCCAGTGACCTCAGCCGGTACCCAGAGCAGATGATGCAGGGTCTCGCCGCGGCCATCCTTTGCCGAGCGGGACCCGTCCTGGAGGCACTGAGGCCGGGGGGCACGGCGCCCCAGGCGAACCCAACGACCCCCCCGAGGCGGCCGAGGGAACCTTCTCCCAGCACGCCGGGGGACAACAAGCGCCAGTCCCGGAGGCTGAAGGCGGGCCAACAAGCGTTGGCAGGACTAACCTTGGGCTCACTCCCGCTTTCGGCCTCGGACAACCCGGAGGTCCGGACATCGACACAGAGGACTGGCGAGGCGGAGAAACTTGGGGGGGGAACTCTTTCCCCGGATCCATGGGCACACCATGGCATGGAGATCTCGGATCGGCCCACCATCCTGCCGATCACGCACGACCCCAATCTCTCCGACAAGGTCATGTACCTTCAGATGGCCTTCAAACAGCGTCCCTTAAGGGACGGAGGAGGAAAGCCCTCATTGGGACGGTTGGCCCCTTGGACCCGGCCACTGTCCAAAGCAGATCTGTGTCCTCACTTCGCCGTGGGGGGACAAGCTCCAGGAGTCGCTCTCGTTGGGGGATGGGTCACATCCCTTCCCGGAGGACCTGCTGGAGGACATCAGGGAGATTCTGGCGCCGGGGGCAGGCCGACCAGCTGACGGCCAACCCTTCTTCCTGGACATCTTGCACAGCGTTGCGCTGAACATTCAGGACCCCGACCACCAGTTTTTTCGGGATCTGGAGCAAGGGGTCCCACTGAAGGTCACGGACCCACCCCTGACCTCGCCGGGCATCTGGCCACTCAAGAAGGAGCTGAAAGGGGAGGAGCCGGAGATCCAGGAACTCCTTTATTCAACGGGGTAACTACCCCTCAGCGGATCACTTCAGCGAGCTCATCAGGGGCACATTCCTGGAGGAGGTCCCAATGGGCATGGTGGAGGGCCCCTTCAGTAAGGTGGAGGCAGCATCGCGCTGTGGCTGCGAAATCGAGGACCTTTGTCCCGGCCCCCTAGCGGGCATCGACGAGGGGGACAAGATCCGCACGATGGCTCGGTGGGTGGGGCCAATGACACCATCAGGAACCAGACGGTGGAAAGGACGACGGCTCCGACGGTGCTGGATGGGGCCCAAGCTCTTCATTGGCTACATGCGGCAGCTGCGGAGGGACCCCCCTCTCAGGGTGGGTCGTCGGGCTATGGCCGGAGCCGGGCACCAGGTGGGTGCTGCTCAAGGCGGACGTCACCAAGGCCCACCGGAGAGTGAAGGTCCTCAGGAAGGACTGGCGGTTCCAAGTGGCCTCACTGGGGGAAGAATGGTGGGTGAACAAGGTAGGCACATATGGCATGGCCAGTGCCCAAACTGGGGACGCCTGGCAGCCCTTCTGCTCAGGGTCCTCTACGCCCTTTTCCCTCAAGTGGATTGGAACTTTGTCTTTGTCGATGACTTCCTGTGGCTGCTTCGAAGCGAGGGGGCAGCAAACTTGGCGGTGGCGCTGTTGGCAACACTCCTGGCCTTGGGCACCCCGCTTAGCTGGAAGAAGACGCATTTGGCGGAGGTTAACACGTGGCTGGGTTTCGTGGTCCACCCGAACATCCCGCAGGTCCTCATGGCAGCCAACAAACACATCCTGGTTATGGAGGTTTTGCAGACCATGGTGGAAGGGCAGGCGATGCACTCAAAGGACATCGAGAAGGCCCTGGGTCGCATCCAATGGGCGACGGCTGCATGTCCGCTGGCGAAGTCGATGCTCCAGCCACTTTGGGCCTGGAAGATGGCCACCACCACGGTGGGGAAACCCCCCAAGGTGGTCAGGATGCTGGCGTTCATGCTGCGGTTCCTCTTCAACACGCCTTTCGTCCAGTACTCCCCTTACTTGCCGAAGTCCTCTTGGTGGGGTTGCAGCGATGCTAGCGCCTCGGACGACGGACTGGCATTTGTGGGAGGTTGGTGCTCCAACAAAGTGGAGCCGGACAAGAAGGAGGTGTACTGGTTCCACGAGCAGATCCACGTGGAGGAGTACCCTTGGGCCTTCAAGAATGGGGATCCAAAGCGGCGGATTGCAGCTCTGGAGATGCTGGGCACGCTCTTCCTCTGTAACATGATCCTCACGCACCAAGGCCCTCTGTCCTCCCGGGTCCGACTCCCGGTGGGCAGTGACAATCAGGGCAACGTCATGGCGATGCTCAACCTTGGATCCAAGAAGCCCTACACGGCGGCGATCCTGATGGAGCTGGTCTTCCTGCTCCACACCCATGGCTGCTCGCTGGCGGCCAACCACGTGCCCCGTGAATTCAATCAATGGGCTGATGAGCTGACGCACCCAGATTTCTCTGGGTTCGACCCTTTGCAAAGGGTCCCCAAGCAGGAACTCTGCGAGGAGTTTGTTTTTCTCCCGCGTCTCCTGAATGGAGACGCTTTTGATCTCAGCGTGGGCCCACCCATGCTCCCGTGACCGGAGCCGGTGGGTGACTCACTTCCCCTGGTGGCAGACCCCCCTGTGGCCTGGGTGCCACGGGCCCCAGTCTGCACACCCGTTCTTCAGTTTTTGAGATTGTGAGTTGGGTGGCCCATGGGGCCCACCCAGCCTTTGTCATCTGACAGGGGAAGATGAGTCCCTGGCACCAACACACTGCTCGGATAAAAGAGTTATCGCGTGCCTGTGTGTGGTGCCGTTTGGTTAGCTTGCATACACTGCTGTTCATTTTTACCCAGTCTATGTCAAAAAAAATGGTGAAGCACTCCTTTCTTGGCTGAAAACGAAATCACACATGCATCTAGCTTGAGAGACAGACACACCATCGTAGCATGATTTGCCAGCCGTAGGGGTTGATTCAAAGCCATGGTTGCGGGAGATTGTGGGTCCTTAAAGAGGGTCCTTACTCCAAAGATTCTTGAACCCAGACGGTCTCATTTGAGGAAGTGAACCATCCCTGGGTTTAAGTTTGCTCGCCAAACAAAAGGAACCCCTCCGGCACTGGAGTTCCTCAGGCAGCGGGACCTGGAAGAGCTTGTGGACAGCGTAGTGACCTTGCGGGGCCGCCTGGCCACGGTAGGCCGATGCTTGGGAGGAGCGCAAATTCCATGCGCAAAAATTCCCCTGCCTTCCATTTGCTTAAGATTTCTTTTCTTCCCCTGTTGGTTTTATGGGGAATCTATCACTACTTGAAATATTTTTATTCTTTGCTGGGGCTGAAGAAAATGGCAGCTACCGACCTGCAGCTGGTGTGCAGAAAGAACGCCCCCAACACACTGACAGGGAACGTCACTGGAAGCTGAAAGATCATTCTCTCGGAGGCGCCCTCTGGTTTGATGGAGCAACAAAACCGGGTGTCCTTTGCTTCACGCGCTTGAAATCCTCAGAAGATTTTGTGAGCAGCCTTTAAAGCCATTCGGGTATGTCTTAGAAACGGAATCCCTTCCAAGAATGGTGGGTTTCCTTTTGGTTTCCCTTCAAACCCCCCCCCCCCGCCCCCCCGTGTGTCGGGCGCCGTCAAAAACTTTGTCCGCCTGCGGCAAGAATCTCCAGGAGAGGCCGAGTGCATCCTGGCGCCGCTGCGGAAGTTCGAGTCCCTGCTGAGGTCGCACATCGCGGAGCCCGGGGCGCTGTAGATGAGATGTTCCTCCCATGGGGGCGGAAGGGGGGGGGAGGGGTCCTGGGCAAAAGATCGAGACCACAGAATCAAGACTTGTTTGATGCCTCCAACTTTGGAGCAAAGATGCGAACGCAAAGGAAGAGGTAGGCGAGGTGGCCACTTGTTTTTTCTGTGCAGGTAATTCGATTTGCCAGCTGCATCCACAGGAAGCGGCAAAAGGCGAATGCCGCTTGCCGTTTCAGCGGGACAAAGGTGGGCAGGTCTCGTGGGCAGACAGCCCTCGAACCTTTAATTCGCGTTGGTGTGACTGTATAGTCGCCTGCATCATGAACAAAAATGAAGATTCACTGCTGGGATGCGATCTGCGGATCGATGTGCGGGGGCGGGGCTGGGATTTTGATTGTCGATCATTGGGAAGCTTTTCATAGCTGCTATCATGTTCCTGGATGTTCTCAATACTCTGCCTTCAACACGTTTTTGGAGTGGAATGTTGTGAGAAAGCCAAAAAGGCAGCGTATCAGTCCGTTTGTTCTTTTGTCGGGAAATCTAGTCCGTAGAGTATTTATATTTGTCAGGAAACTGAACGGGTCGGCTTCTCTATGTGGCCACCTGCCAGGAAGTCTTTGCAAAAGCAAATAGGTCGCCTGAGCAGTTGGGGAACATGGCAAGGGGTTAGTGACGGAGGATTCACTCAGGGCGAAACACTCTTGGACGGCTTTGTCTCTCGAGCAAGGCCTTGTGTATCAGCCAACAGGTGCTCTCGACCATCCACGGCTGCGCCACTGTCCTTATTGACCAGGGAGATCATTACGCCAAGCTTTCAGGAGACATGTGACATGTCCGGTTTTCCTCTCCTCTCCAAGCCAGAGCGATGTTACTGGCCATTGTACCTGAATCTAACGCCTGGGATGAAATTCGGAGTGCTCTTGCGCTTGGATAAAAAGCTCATCACCAAATGTTAGATTTGCTTGATGGCAATGGCGGTCGCTAGCACGAGAGTGTTTTCTTTGAACACAATAGAACGAAGCTATCTCTTCCCTATTCTCACTCCCGGATTCATACTTTCGGGAAAGCAACTTGGCAAATTAACAGTTTGGACTTCTTTTGGCCAGCCCACTCCATCGGAAGCAAGTATCAGGAGTCTCTTTTGCCAAGATGGTGATTGGATGGCTCCGTGCCAGTTCTATGGTTCTTGCACCAGTTCTCCAGCCAAGTTGATACATGAACATGTTCGTGCGTAGATCTCAGACAATGCCTGATCAGTCATGGCAAGCCCAGCTCCAGTTAGTCAGAGCCCTCGTCTGCTGCGTCTATTGATTCTGGGCACCTTCTCCATCCAAGACTCAGAGTGCAGGATAACAATTTAGATGCCTTATCTCCTGTCTGTCGAGGAGTAGCCCCTATGGCTCATCAGTTTAATCTAGAGTTGGGCGAGGACTGTAAAATCCTCCCTATCGCGGTGTGAAATCAATGGTCAAATTATGCTAACTCCTGATCTGAAAAGAAACAAACACTTGATTCGGCCGGTCCTGGGATTCGCCCTCGGCGAAATGTGTCGTAGGGAGGGCCCTGCCTAGCGAGCAAGACGGACGTAGGCAGTCCCAAAACAGGGCCCGTGGTGGTCAAAAGAATCCTGCGTGACTTTGACAAAGGTACTCTACCAACAGTTCGCCAATGCGGGGCCTACCTTTTCACCTCCCTTCCGCCCAGACTGGGACCCCGTGAGGGTCCTACGGCCGAGATCAATCGGTCAACCATTTCTAGCATGATTCCGCTGCTTCAACATCCTCCTTTACAGGTCTCCCTTGTGTTCCATTCAGGTTTCCCTTGTGAAGAGAAACCAACACAACAACATATTCTTCTGGGTGTCCCCCAAAAAAACCGGCACATCAATCTGTCAATGTTTGAACCAAGGGTACTGGAGACATCTATATGTACTACTTGAAAGGGCATTGTACTTAGTAAGTGGTTAGTAAGCCTAGTTATAACCCACTTATCATGGTTATAACTCTCCTAAGTGGTTAGCTTACCAACCACGTACCTGACGTTCCCTGCCCCTTTCACGTACCCAATCCTCAAATTTTGGCCCGTCCCAAGTCCACAGGAGCCTGGGCAGTGGCAGCACGCCTGGGCAAAGCAGGCGCTCACCGGCGACGCAGTGCGGCAGCTGCAGGAGAAAGGCAGAAACGGCGCCTTTTCTTTCCCTATTGCCAGACCAACAAGGGGGTCCATTGTTCGGAAACACCCCCCAAATTTGGGCTTCTAAAAATGGACCCTCTTTTGGTTGGTATTTAAGCCAAAAAAAGGAAACCAACGATATTAGGGTGTTCCCACTTGGAGAAGCACCCATCTAACCTTGTTGCCCATATGACCGTTTGGAGTTCCGTCATTTTTCTCTGTGAAAAGTTGTTCTAAGTTTGGCCACTTTTCCTGACGGTCGCAAGGAGCCATGGCTTGCTTCAAAGCTGAATCGGTTGAAATCTGAAGAAACTCGTGGACTTCTGGTTTTGCCAGTGTTGGGTGGTTGGAAACAGTTGTCAAAATGGGTGATACCGCTTCCTTCCATGGAACATGATGCTCCGTTCATGAAGGCCATCAACCACAGGTGCGTCGGGAAGGAGGAAGGGTGCCCTTAGGGCGCATCCATAGAACCTCCGAGGGCACAAAGCCACCAGCCTTGTTCAAAAGTGGTCGCCTACCTTCGAACCTGAGCATTTCCATCCCGAACTTCGAACGCTAATCGCTACGTCTCGCAGGCTTTTGCCACCTGCCGGGTGCCTTTGATGCTGACTTGGCCTCCGCCTGCCTGGAGGCGCGTGCCGCGGCTTTTCCCAGGGGCTCGGCTTTTCCGAGGCCATTGGTGCGCACTTGAAGGGGCGACGGGGTACGTGGTGAGTGGCTAGATCCCCAGGTGCCTTTATTTTCCAGCTACTTTGACCAAATCATGGGCTACTAGTGGCTGGAAGAAAGTGGCTACTTGGGGTTCCAGGTGGTTAGTAAGGTTGGTGAGACTACTAGCCACTTACCTGACGCGCCCTGCCCCTTTGCGTAGGGGCTCCTGGAAAGACGACAATGAGTTGGTGTGAGTCTTTAGCCGCAGTTCGAGTGAGATGTTCCGTGTTTGACCTTGGCCACATTGAAGTGCTGGGAGTGCACGGCAAGCCGAAATGCTGAAGCTCGGGTTCTGGCACAGTGAGACGTGCTGTGTTGACCAGTACTTCTCTTGCACGAATGAACTCTAAAGGGTATTGCCAGGAGTGCCGGAAGTTGGACGACGCTTCAGCGACCACCGTGACGACCAATCGCTGCAACCGAGGGCACCTTGGCCCTGTCATCTCGGGGGTGACATCACTACCATTGAAAGTGGAACACAGTGAATCCTCACTACCAGTGAAAGTTCAGTTTCCAGCTTGTGATGGATACCAGAAGCCCTCTCTTTTTCGCCACAGGGCGCAGCTCTTCACACGTTCTGTTCAGCACAGGTCGCGGTCCGCGTGGCTGGATCTGAGCTCAGAGGACAGCGCAGCTTTGCACCAGTTGCCGAAGCTCACCGAGCTGTCGCGGATGCTGGCAGGCGCTTTTCCTTCGATCACCCGAACTCGGGCAGCCGGGCGAATGCGATTTGCGTGTTTCCCTGTTGCCTGGAAAAGCACGGTTGGGTGGCTTGATGGTGGATTCACTGAAAGAAGTGGCATGGGTCAACTTGAAAGAGGGGTCCCCAACTAAGCGTCGATATGGGTGTGGGTCAAATTCATCCACCAGGGGACCGCAGAGTTGACATGTCTCCATTTTCCAGGGTTCCATTTGGGGAACGTATTTTTGAGCTACACCCATCTTTTGCCGCCTGGAAGAAGACACCTTGCAGCTCAGATGGTGGAATGACTGTGAAGTTTGTGGACCAGGCCTTGTTCGGCCTTACTGGCCAACTCCTGAACCGGGGCGTTTGGTTGGGTTTCTGATTCCATGCGATGCATATGGCCGGGCCCAACAGGATGACCAGTGGTTCGTTGTTCAAGTTGACTTTTGTCGCCGCAACTGGGGGCAATCCGATCAGATTGAGAGGCTTGGGTCTGAGGCCTTGGCTGTTGCTATGCCGCAGCCCTGCCAGGTTTGCCCTGGGAGTTGCAGAACTCCGGCTTCGAAGACCTCCGAGTGCATCCGGCAACGATGAGACTCGGCATCGGAGCGAAGCGGCGGCCGGTTGACCGGGGTTGTGACCTCAGGATTGGTCCAAATTGGTTCCCAGAACCAGCCCCTCTGCCCCCTTTATCAAAAGAGCATGGTGGAACCATCACAAACCATACACCATGAACCATACGCCATACGCCACAAGAGCATGGTGCATCAGAAACCCCGAACCATAAATCATAAACCATGAACCTTAAACCATAAGCCATAAGCCATACGCCATACGCCACAAGAGCATGGTGCATCATAAACCCTGAACCATACACCCTAAACCATGAACGATAGACCACAAACCATAAGCCATAAGAGCAGGGTGCATCAAAGGTGGTTCATGATGGTTTATGTCTGAGCTCCGGGCCCAGCTCCCGGCCGTGCGACCCGAGGCTTGCGGTTTACCCGGAGCAGGCGGCGTCGTATGCGCTGCACAAGGCGCAGCTGGCAAGAGCAGCCACTGGTGCAGAGAGAGCAAATGAACTGCATGGCGAGCTCCAGTCTGGAATTGTGAGATGTGATGATTGGGGAGACCAACGAGTTTCTTCATGCCCGGGACATTCCTCGTGATGTGTTGAGATCTAGTGTTATCTCACCTTTTTGGTGTGTCTTATGGAAGTGGATGCGCTTGGAACCTCAAAACAATCTGCACAACTCCTGATTGAAGGCTCAACTCCTTGGGGGACATTCCATACCGTCTACCACTTCGCCGTCCAAGAGCACGATGCACGAATCACACATCAAGTATGCTACTTGTTGATCACAAGGCTTTGTAGTTACCTTGCACGGTGCCATCCCCAAACCAACCACAAACCAAGCAAAACCAACCAACCAAGCCAACCAAACCAACAAAAACCAAAGGCGGCCATTTGCCAGGATTCTTACGCGCCGGCGGATAACGACCCTGCCACCGGTGCCACCCGTCGTCTCACAGTGCTCGCCTATTTCAATGAGGCGCGGGCACCGCAAGGCTCAGCCAAAGTTAGATGACCTTGAAGCAGGACGGTGCTGAAGGCTGATGCAACCGTCCAAAAACCTTTCATTGAGTCTATCATTCTATAGCATAAATTGATGAGATATACGTCTATGAGTGAGTGAGTGAGCGAGGGAGTGAGTGAGTGAGTGAGTGAGTGAGTGAGTGCGTGAGTGAGTGAGTGAGTGAGTGAGTGAGTGAGTGCGTGAGTGAGTGCGTGAGTGAGTGCGTGAGTGAGTGTGTGTGTGTGTGTGGGTGTTTATTCTGCTTTTGTTTTGTTTTGCTTTGCTTGCTTTTTGTTTGGTTTGTTTGTTTGCTTTTGTTTGTGTGTGTGCCATGATGATCAGCTGCGGCTGTTCAGGGCTGGCTGCCCAACATGGGCTAGCGGATGGGGCGCAAGCCAGCGGTGCTCGCCAGTGCCGGCTCGCCAGCCCGCCGGCCAGGCGCGCGAAGGGGACGGCGGGCAGCTCCGCGTGCACGAGGCGGCGAAGGACAAGCCGGACCCGCGGAAGTTCGAGGCGCTGGAGCCGAAAGCCTGGGCCCCAGGGCTCTAAGGGCCGCCGGGGAGTCGGGGAGGGGGGGTTTCTGGGTTTGAGATGAGATGTGGAGAGGATTGTACGCGTTCTACCGGAGGCAAAGTCTGAAAAGTCGAAGAGACAAAGCCATGTCAGTGAAGGAGGGGACGCGTCTTGCGCTTCAGCGTAGATGGCATGATTCCAAGCCGTGGTTTATTCCAACCCATGGTTTAGTCATCCGCAAAAAGCGCTTGCCCACTTCAAGAGAATTGTGCCCTCCAAATTGGTGCAAAGAGTTTTTCCCCGGGGGTCGTTCGGGCCGTTTCACCGGAACCCCGCACCGCGAAAGGGCCTCGGAGTTTTCTCACGGGAGGCAGGGCCGTTCCGTCAAGAGCCGGACTCACATCCGCTTTGTGGGGGAAAAAGCGATCAAAGGAACTGAGTGGAAGTGTGTTCCTTCAGGTTGGACCCCCAAAATGGATCTCGGTTTTCCTTTTGGTGTCCTTCTAAAACCACAACAAGAAGGGGGTACCAACTCCAAAAAAGACAAGCCATCCTGGCTGCATTTGCAGTTCTCACCTGTCGAACTGTTTGGGGCCCGAGCTGAGGCTGGCACTGTGATCGTTTTCGACAGTCGCAGGATTTGGTCGCTTGGCAGGGTTGATTCATTCACAGCCCTAGGTCCCCCAGTGCCCTCTCTCACCCCTTTTTTGGTTTCCCTAGTAAAATAGACTACCGAAAAAGGGTACCCTTATTCTAACCTCTCTACTGGAGGACCTAGCAGCTCTCTGAATGTTGCGGGGCTTTTGCAGAATGTGGTGACTAAAGCCATGTGCTGGACAGGGTTGAAAAGTAAATAGCCTCAATAGCCTCCAGCTGTATGTTTGTCGCCAGAAGCAAGTCTGGGCGGCATGTGTATTGGAGTTCTGACTCTGGCACAGGTAACGATTGCTGGAATACGCCGAAACTTGACACAGCAGCATTTTCGCGGGTTTGTACAGCACGTTTGCGCGGAGTTCATTCAGTTACTGGGATGGTTGGGTCGATGCCTTGACAACATACCCGGGAAAAGCATGAGACTTGTCGGGAAAGACCGTTTGGGCTTGTCTTTTTGCAGGTTGGACCCCCCAAAATGGTTCGTTTTCCCGTGGTTTTCCCCTTGAAACCAACCAGACACCCTCAAAACAAGACGCAGCCAATCGAGGAGGATTTTCTTGGCCGCCGCGCCCCAAGGCACGCTGTCGCGCCTTCCCTCCGTGGGGACCGCTGGGCGATGACTCTGTGGGTGCACTGAGCTGTGCAAGTTGCAGATCTTCTTTGTTGGGACTTGTGCTTCCTGCAGGGAAGCATCTCTAGGGAAACAGAGAGACGGGTGAGATGAGCTCGAGCTCAAGCATCCGCGCATTTATGAGCCAGCTGCCGTGCTGGTCGTTTGTATTGCCAGCTATGTTGGACGAAGGCAGCAATGCTGCGAGTTTCCAGACTTTTGAAATCGCTGCCGACCTCCTGTCAATCAGCTCGGGCTGGATGAAAGAGCTGCAAGATCGGTTTGGCTTAGAAAACGGATGCATTCAATTTGCTGCTATCCCAAATGACGAGGTCTCCGGGAGGATGTGCACCATACGGTTGCCCTGCATTTGGCAGTTCATCCTTTCCCATTGGAGTTGAGGTATTGCAGCGAGGTGAACAACTCTTTCTGCTGTCCTCGGTTGTGAATCAGAAATGCTTGTTTGTCTTCCACGGGCTGATTGGGCCACGGTTGAAGGAGCATAAACATCCACATTGCATTTTGGGCTTGAGAATCAGATGTGGTTCATCAGCCCCGGGAAAAGAGCTGTGTCTCACGCCATTTTTCAGAAAGTCTGCAAACCCTGGAGGATTTTCTCGGATAAACAACGGCCGTCGAATCGCGCCATATACGACTGACTCGCCGATCGAATCGAGGCTTCGAGGAGAGGATCCCTCGCACAGCTGGCTGAGCTGGAGAGCCCAGTGCCGCTGAGATGGATCGATCGCAGCCGTGACAACGGCCACAGAAAGTTGGCCATGGGATCATAGGTGTCCTTTTTAGGTTAGTGTGGTCAAGAATAGAAGGCATTTTATTCCATGTACCAGTGGACCAGGTCCATCTATTTTTCCAAAAGGACACTTATGCATGGGATCCTTTTGTTATCTTCCCTGGGGGTCTTTGCGCCCGGGTGAGGCAACAATTGCCGGTTTAAACCGAAACCCACTGTTTGCGGAAGAGGGGGGCATCAGAACATATATGGGAGGCTCGTGATTTTTACGGTTGGCCCCTGTAACATTGTCAGATCTCGGTTTTCCTCTTGGTTTCCCTTGAAAACCACAAAACAAAGGTACCAACTCCAACAAAGGACATACCCGTATGCCCAGTAGTCTGCTTCCTGAAGTTGATCGCCCGCATTGAGCTCAGTTTCACCAAGGTCAAAGCTGGGATGCCAGCACACAGGCCTTGATCAGAATGCACGTCGTTAGGGACATCTTTGGTTGATCCAGTCAAGCGATCGTCGTTTTCAAGTTATTGATGTCTTCCGCTCGTCACGCTCAGATATCAACTAAGGTGTGAGTATATACACCACCATGTGCACAGCCGTTTGGCAGTTTTATCTACCCTGCGCCGAAGACTGACGCTTAGAAAAACTTTCGAGCTTCGGAGTCGAACAACAAGAATCATATGGCTATGAATTAAGATAAGGAACCTTCTGGAAAGTGGTGTGCGGACATAACACCCCACCTAAATGATGACCACCAGAGGGTCCCGATTCAAATTCATGCCCACGTGCGTTGCCTCTCTGCCAGGCTTCCACGCCCACGCCCCAAAGGCGGGATGGCACAGCGGGCCACCAGGTGAGCCACAATCGAAACCCGGGTAGATGAAGGTTAGTAAGGGGCAGTCCCAGCCGGAAATAGTTGCGGCCGCCTTTCTATTTCTCTACATGGTTCTGGGTTCACAATTCTTGTAATTACCAGGTTTTTTATTGTGACTCAGGTGTGTTCCAGGTGCAAAACTTGATGTCAACCCCGAAATAACCGCTGGTTATGCGCTAGTGTTGGAAGTGACCGGAATTCACTTTGCTTGCAAATCAGGAGAAAACAACTCGACTTGCAGAGTCTCTTGGATGAATTGCACTTTGCAGCATGAGAAGACTTTCCTTGTGAGCTGTCGTGTGGCACGTCCAGCTTCCTATACTGCAGGACAAGACGCAGTGTCGGCAGTTGCTCCGGATACTCCACTCTCCGGTGAGGGGGTGGAAGTCGGGGGCTCGTTTCATTCAGATTCCTCGTTCCAACTTTGTGAACATGACATTCATGCGTGAGGTCTGTTGCCTGTTAGCTTTCTGTGCGAACGCGAATGCATGAAATTCTTATCAGATACGTGACGAGGATTTCTCTGCGGTCAATGCATCGGATGCCTCAAGACGGGGATCCCAATCCTCCGCAAGGCTTCAATCGGTTTGCTTTAGAGGCGGCCTCCATCGACTTGCAAATGCAATGAGACGGAGCGCCCCATGCATCTGCTTCTGGAAAAGGGCTCATGCATGGTTGGGGAACATCTGTTTTTTGTTAGCTCCACTTCCTGGGAAATCCAAGAGAATCCCATTTGAAGCGAGACAGGCCCACTGTACGTTGTGGAAAGCAATCCTTCCAGTGCTGCTTGACACAAGGTTGCAGGTTTGAACAGTGAAAGGGTGTGTTTAATCAATTTGAGGGAGACGATCTTCCTGGTCTGAAGGCCTTATCGGATTGCTCACACTAAGATTGGATTTGATTTAGTGCTGGTGGACTGAGTTGCCATTCGATTTGGCATTGGTGGTTCTTCCTTTGAGATTTAGATTTGAGTTTCCATTTGGTTTAGTCTTGGTGATGCAAACAGAAGCTGGGCAGAAAGTGCTAGGGTCCAAAAGTGTGGTCCCACTGTTCATGAGAACTGGGCAAGGACATATGCCAAGACAAAGCAGGAACTGTACAACCAGCCCATCCATTTCAGTGAGCCTTGTTTTGAGGTTTTGCCAGGAGGGGGGGGGGGGGGGGACAAGACGTTATTGTAATTGGGGGCCATTGAGAAATAAAGTGAGATTGCGGGCCTGAAGTACCCTCTTTGTGGGTTTGATTGTGGGAATGTTTGTTTTAAGCAAGAGCAGGGTTGTGGAATCAAGGGGTTTATTCCCACTTCTGTGATACAAGGGAATCTCCCCCTGTATATGGGGTGTTAGTCTTTGGGAAGCCCTTTTTGTTGTATCACAGAAGTGGTCATTCCCCACAACCCTGAGCAAGAGATGTTGGATTTTTGGGAGCAGGCTCAAATCCTTCATTTCTTTGGCTGCCAGGGGGCAGGTGCTTATCTTCTTCCAGGTGCATTCATTGATCTTCTGGGACCGTGCTCGAAAGAAGCGCTCAACGTGGGACGTAGCATCGATTTGAGCGGCGGATTGTAAGGCTTCATCAACCAGATGGTAGGTTCCACATTGGATTCGGGGTTGTCCCAAACAGTGACTTTGCTTGACGCAAGGGCAACCGCCAGCGAAGCGCTTTGAGGGGTCCTGTGCTTGGCCGATCCAAACAGTCCCGTGGCCTTTCTGCCGCCCAGTTGCCGAGCGAGCGAGCGACCTTACCTCACCAGCCCCCGACCTCGCCATGCAGCAACAAGCCAATGTCGGCTTCTTGACTGCATTAAAAACCATCATAGCAGACTCTCCCAAAACACGATCCGCTTTCATGACTGTTGGAGACAGGGTGTGATTTGAATGGGGAGCAGCGGGCATATTTACCATGTAGTTGATGTCCTTACCAGCTGGTCCACATTTCAGTCTCATATTCGTTTGAACAGAGGGACATCTTGGAGCTGCCGTCCCGTGACAGCGAGCTTGCGCCAAAACGGTCCGCTCCATTTGACAGCCCAATCTAACAGCCCAAGGGGTGAGTGCCGCTAAGGGTGCTTTTCCACAGCCATCCTTTTACTATAGGGCAACTTTCTCGCCAGGCGTCCTTTTCGGGTGAAGATGCCGTATGCCGCTTTG